GCATTTGAGAATTTGACCCAAGGTAAAGGTCATTACCTAACCGGTAAAGTCATATTGCATATTAGTCGATCCATATTTTCGAGAAGGAAAATAATTATATAGGGTGTTTCATTGCTCTACCATATCGCTATCAAAAGTTATTGTCCAAAATCTACTGGAGACCTTTCATGACCTGAGATGACCTCAGTAACATAAAAGTGGTCACATCACGAGTGACATTTACCGATTAAATGTGTCATATTTACCTGCATCCCGATGGTTGAGGTTGTTTTCGTTCAGAAGAAGAGCATTTCAATTGTCTCCCATTAATCCGCGCCGTGCTTAGGGAGGGGGTACGCCCCCCTTAGGTTTTTTTTTCTCGCGAACATCTCAAAAACGGCGTCGCGCAGCGCCTGCGCTGTCTTTGGTACACCTGTTTATACATCTTTTCTACACAGCTTGTTAAATTTCAGATGAGGGTCGTTCAAGGTCAGGTCACTAGGGCACGTCAAGTGACCTTAGCTAAAAAAAAAGTTTAAAGACCGGCTATAGCTACACCGACTGAACGATCACTTTTGAAACTTTTAGAGATTGTTAAGACTAACAATATGCATAAAATGTTCATCTCGGACTTTTTATTTCTGTGACCTAAGGTCAGGTCAATTTTGGGACCTCAAGTCAGTGGGAGAAAAGTGAAATGCGCCTCTTTTGGACGAATGTCGTTTAAAACCCCCTTGAACATCGGTTCATAGGTAAACATAGCGCACTGTATCGTAAAAATGCACATGTGTCCTTTTATGTGCCCTTGAGGTCATCTCAGGTCATAAACGGTCACCTATTTTATCTCCATGAACGGTTTTTTGGCTTCAACTTTTGATAGAGACGTGCTAGAGCGGTGAAAACACGTCAGATGTAGTCAGCTCGACGATACGGATCGACTGATCTGCAGAATGACCCTTTCCGGTCAGGTCATGACCTTGATCTGCGGTCAAATTTTTAAAATAACCTTTCAAGGTCAACGTATAGTTCATTCGACGCGTCTCGACGAGAGGAACACGAGGCAGGCAAAATAAATATCGTCACTGTCTTGAACCAAATGTTATTGCAGAAAAACGCTTTCATAAAAACTGTTATTTTTGGAGTTTTTGCCCTCTGGAGGCTAAACCATTGACCCGAGATCAAATCCGAGAGCAATATTCAGAAAAGCCTGTAAAAGGGCTATCGAATGCGCTTTTCCGCGGCGCTGTAGCTCTATTGGTTCCCGAGTAAGCCGTTGGCAGTTTCCAAAATTGTTGAAATGGACTAAATTTTACCTTTGATGACCTCTAGTGACCTGACCTATGACCTGACCTAAAAATTGAAACGAGGTCTCTCCGTCATTATTTTTGACGCTCTTTCGATTTCCCCTTACCGCGTGTCGCTACGTGGCCCAGGAGCCGAGTTAGAGGGGGGACGTGAAAACACCCCTCCCCCCCCAGCACGACACGGAAAGCAAAGCACAGGCCACCAGCACGGCGCGGGTTAACTTATAGGTAATCGGTAACTTATAGGTACTTATAGAGAGGTCGCAAAATTGACCTGGCCCTCGATGAAGATATTTGGTCTGGGGATTACGCAAGGCGAATGTTCGGTGAGATCAGCAGGTTTCTATGGCACTTATTCAAAGTCGACCATGCACACTCACATCATCAAAAGTCGTCTTCTATACTAACGCCGGCCCAAGACATTTTTAACCTTCGTGCCACTATATGGGACAGTCTCACGCCTCACCCATCTGGCACTCATGCAGTCATGAGTGTCTGAGATTCTAAGCACGGCCACCCCGGTCGACCAGAGGCTGCAGTCCACAGGTCACTTTGGTTCAGTGAGTGAACCTGTATGTTTTTTTTTTTTTGCAAAGAATAAAGATTGTGCCAATCGATCAACGCATATTTTACCGTTTCGAATTCGAATGGGTGTGTATTTTTAGAATAACATGTCCGTAGCCTGAGCTCGTTTCCTATATCGTGCTAAATATGCATAAAGATTTTTTTATCGCTTTTGATAAAAAACATTGAGCTGCAAATTGCATTTATTGGATTTTATGAAAAATCAGCGAAACCGTTCTGATACTCGTGCCGGTTCCGTAGTAACACCTAGTAAATCATGCATGAATATATGACGTTACATTTTAGACTGAACCCCTGTCACTAGCTCACTATGGCGCCCCTCTCAAGGGAAAAAGTCGCCCCCTCGAACACCATGGCCCCCCCTTTCGCTGACTTCTGGCTACGCCACTGCTTGTAGACCCTTCCTCTTACTTGGCACACAGGCATGGTGTCACAGTGTTCTAAAATTGGATTTCAATTGGGTGTCCCAATAAAAAAAATCTGAAGACAAAATGAGATAGATTTAGTCTTTCCGCAAAACTGCATAATGCCATTTTTACCTCAGATTTTGTCAGAACCTTCACAGGATCTGAAATGAAATGATGTAGAGTAGATGCATCAACTGTCAAGTCATGCGTAACCTGGCAGCTGGCTGTTGAATCAAACTTTTGACATATTTTTTTAGCAAAGATGAAATAAAGCCACTTGTCATATTTTTAGGATGAAAACATTTTCCCCATCATGTATGGTTATTCACCTAAAATTCTGAAACATGGAACACTGTCATACCAGCATTCCATCATGTCAACCAGCATTCCGCAGCATGTTAGCAGAAGCAGCAGCATGTTATAAGTATATGAAAGATCCAAATAGGTTGTAGGTTGGTAGGTATTGGTACTAAGTTTAACTTAATAGGTTAGTAGGCAAGGTTAGGATTAATTTTAGTTGAGCATCAAGATAACCATTATGAACAAGTAACAAAATCCTTACCTACCCTTGAAAGCATCGCTTCAATCACATCATCACGAAGAACCAGACAAAATTTTTGCACATTCTTACACTATTTGACATCCTGAATCCAGATATGATGCTTTCATGTGGCGCAAATACAAGAAAAACGAATAATCAAACCCGTGCGTATTCGTATCAACGGCGCCACAATTGTAGATCAGACCTTTTCTGAACAAATGCCACCACAATTTTAATTGATAAGGGATTAAAATGGCATGAGCATCAACATCTTGATTTTTTCTAAAAGATAGCGATAACTGATAACTAATAACTTACCATTCATTTTGAAATCACGGCGGTAGGTACACCAACACATGGCACTGAAAACAGCAAAAGACGGAATGGCGGAATGTCGTATGGAGCCCTAAAACGCAGCTCGAATTGAGCCCGAAAAGGAAGACGAACTGATGCCGCTTTCGGGGCTAATGTACTTTGAGCCCGAAAAGGGCGCCTAACTGATCCCGATTTTAAAATCATACAGATTTGAGCCCTGTTTTGGCACTCATATGAGCCCTTATTCAAAAATGTTCTCAAAGTGTTTTCTGAGTGTTGGTCAATAGACACTGACAAAGAACTGGCGAAGCGTGCCGTGCGCCACACGAATATGATTTAAATCGTCAGCTGGTCGGCCGCGCGGTCATTCTATTTCGGAGCGACATTGGGCGCCGTCCGCTGATATTCGGCATGATTGGAGTCGCCGACCGGCCGTATTCGGTATGATTGGATGGTAACTGGCAATCAGCGGAAGCGTTTCCGTCGTTAGTGTCGGCCAGATTATTCTGTGGAGCCAACCGCCGGCTCCGAGAGAGCCTGCCGCCCGTGCAGAAGCCGATTTTCGGCGATGGATGTGACCCATCGACTGAATCGATGGTCCCTCAGCGATAGCTGGCCGGTTTTAGTCCTGACTGTAAACTGGACGTCACCAATTCATGGCGGACCAAGCTGGTCGTCTGACTGAAAGGTCCCCAGAAGACGGCGGCGCTGGCGGAGAAGTGCTGTGGTCCGCTCTTGGGCTGAAAATCGGAGAAGTGCTCCATTAAGTTCCATTAGGCACGATGGGAGGATGCTCTTTCAAATGCCGTCTGTCTGGTGTCTCTCATTCGAAAAATACAGCTTTTGACGCAGGGCTTCTACTTGAGACGCATTCAAGGCGCAACCTATACTGTGCCGCAATGCATGCGTGTAATGCGATACAGCCTACCAGCCCAGAAGCTATACGGACTGAGGGATGGACAGGCGGCTAAACGGCCAAACGGTCGGACGAACGGTTAGACGGGCGGACGAACGGAAGGAAGGACGGTCCGAGGGGCACGGGTGGACGGACGACCGGTCCAACAGACACGGACGGACTGAAATTACAGCTCCGTCGGCGTCCGCCCCGTGGGAGACCGCCAGGCCTGTCGTCTCTCCGCCGCGCGCCCTCCCGATAAGGCACAAAGCGCGCCGCCGCCGCCGCCGCCGTCCTAAATTACCGTGGTTCCGATAAGCGGCCGCCCGGAGAGCCGCACCGGGGCCTCACTCGGCCGCTCCAATTTGCATCGAGCGTCGCTCTGCGGCCCGGTGCAGGGTCGTCGGAGCAGCCAGCGCGAGCTGAGCGGCCAGCAGCCCGGTTTTCTCCGGAGAGGAGCGGAGAAACGGGTTCCGTGTAGAGGCAGATGAGTGAGAATTCGAAGAGGCGTCGACCCCACGATAGTCAAGGAAGCTCAGCAGCTCAAGCGACCTGAGGTAGTGCGCTAAAACCGGGCATGGAGCTTATATTACCAAAGCAGGACGAGCGATGTTTGCAATGATCTTTTATGTTTATGCCGATTGATTCTCTCCATAGAAGTATGCGCTTCCTTGTGTAAGATCGAATCACTCCTCCCCAGTTAATCCTTCCCTATATGAAAATAAAGGTGTATCTGAGTTCTTCTCCTGTCGATGAAAAGCTAGCCTGGCCCTGCAACTGAGTCATCCCTTATGTACGATCCCTGCTCCTGTAGGTAGACGACCCCCCCCCCCCTATAACTGACCCACTGAGCTCTTGTGACAGCCGCGGTGCTCCTGTGACTGTCGATGTGTTCTTGCGACTAACTAATTTGGCCTTCCTGCTCCTGTCGCGGCGCTCCTGCGACTGACGCGGCGCTCTCTGTGTGTCCCCAGGCTGACCATCACGGCGTCGTGCCCGATGAGCCTGCAGTATTTCCCCATGGACCGGCAGATGTGTGACCTACAGATCGAGTCCTGTGAGTATGCAGCTCTGCACGGGCGGAGCGGCGGTCCCGGCGGCACGAGCCGCCCATATGTCCGGTACGGCTCCGGTCATAGGATTACCGCGCCCTCGGCGTCTCCACCGGCATCAGCCAATAACGAGCGCCCTCATTGACCCCACTGTACTCTCTCCTCTCTTTTCCTCTACTTCTCTTTTTCTCTCTCTCTCTCTCTCTCTCTCTCTCTCTCTCTCTTTCTCTCTCTCTCCTCTCCTCTCTCTATCCCGCTCGCTCTTCCTTATTTCCAGCTCGTATTCCATTACTTACTTCTTCGCCTGCTGTGCACTTTTGCTCATATGACCTTCGGCCTCATTCTCACCACCTCCTTTCTTTTTTTCTTTATCTGGCCTTTGCTACTGTTCCTTAATGGCCTTAGCTACAGCCAATGGCCATAACACATTGTTGGGCAGACGCGGATATGCACGGCACTCTCCTACTGCTAATGCACCTCATGAGCGAGGCTCCTTGCCAAAGACTCGCAGTCATAAGAGAGGCACCGTGCGGTGTGACTTGAGTGCCCAATCATCCGAAAATGGACGGGAGTTTACTAGAGCGGCTGGTTACCGTTCGTTTTATTTTACAAAACCATATTTTGAGGTGGAATATTAATGCTGTTCCTTTTTTCATGCCAGAAATAGCAGAACTAATATTCAAATGCCTATGTTTGGACAGCAAACCCTGGACAGATGAGACAGACGTGGGAGGCGGGACGGATCGAGAGCCTTCGCAGTGCCAACGAAAGCGGCGACTAGTCGAAGACAGGACGGGCTTACAGAGGGATTAGTGGGTTCGGCCGATTAGCTCTCCCACCAGCCGGGCGGCGCGGAGTGTCTCTGATCCGATCGGCTTTTGTCGCCGGGAAGACACACAGACAGACTGACAGAGTGGCGAGGTGACGGAGGGAGGCGCGCCGGCCGCTGACACAGCGCGGCGGCCAGCGGGCTCAGCCGGCGCGCTAGCGCGGGGCTCGGAGGGGGATGACACGCACCGCTGTCCTTTCCAGTCGGGTACGCCACCAGTGACATCCGCTACATGTGGCTGGGCGACGCGCCGATCCAGATCGACAGATCGGTGCAGCTGCCGCAGTTCGACGTCAAGGGACACAAGACAGAGGACATCGTCGCCACCACGTCAACAGGTGAGCACGAGACGTTCGTCTGCCCGTCCCCACACCCTTTCGGACCACGATACACTAACAGTCTCAATCAGATACTGCCGCGAACGAACAGGACGGACGACGGACGAGAGAGCGGAATACACCGCGGGTGAACACATTACACAGGGGTGGTGGAGAGATCCTGCCGTTGCCTCAGTCTGGCAAGACTCAAAACAATATAACAAATCATTTAGAATTAATCCAATACTTGAAGTTGTGAGGAGACGCTGGACAGGAAAAGACAACCGACAAATTGTTTTCAGATCAAACACAATGAACACTTTATGACTGCTTATAAATCAGAAAATTATTGCATAAAATCCATGTTATCGGAGAGCGAATGTCATAATTCATTGCTCGCTTGCTGGTTTTACCGTTGTCAGCTTATTCAAACTCTGAGACAGTCTACGAAAACAGGACAACCTGAATGCTCAGACGTTCGCCTAGCTGCATTCTTATGCTAATGTCGCTGAAGCCTTCCGGTTGAAACATTTCCAAACCAAGCCACGTCCGCGCTACATCTCCGGTAACATGGCCCATAAACTAAACTTCCAACTGGTTGACGAGGGAATTGCTGTATCCTGGCGGGCTCCATCCGTCACTTGAGCTTAGGAAAGGTATACGGAGCTGCGCTCTGATGATCCAGACAAAGTGACCTGGCGATGAGAGATCGACTGAATGAGCCAGAAGCAGTTCCCTGCACGCATATCCGGTCACGGCACTGTTCGTGCTGGGTTTTTATTTGTTTTGCTTCAGGTGCAGTTGCGGGCGTGACCGGTCAGGGACAAAAGCTGGTCACCGAGACCGACCGACATCCCTCTCCTCACTGCAGTGGGGAGCTGGGGGCAGACGAGACACTGTCGAATAGAAGCGGTTAACAGTTCGCGACACCCTGGACAACTTTGGAACAAAGTCGACACAAACTGTCGGAGCTGATCGCTGTCCAGTAAAGTTCTGGGCATCCCACGTATTCCGCTCGCGTGATTGTGTTTCTTTTTTGCGTTTCCCGTTACCGGCCCCGGTGTGATGGAGCGTCTCGTCCCTCCCCCGCCCGGTGAGCGGGCCTCCTCCGCCGGTCTTCTCGGGCGCGGTGAGCCGGTGAGGGCGGACCGGGGCGGCGCCGAGCTGCGCCCTTTGTCGGTGCTCGCGGGCGGCCGACCGCAGAGCACCGCTCGGCTGCGCTCGCCGCCCTCACAGAACGGTCACTTCCCGGCCATAGCGGCGCCGTCACGGTCACCGCCGCCGCCAGACAGACGGTGCCGGGCCGGACAGCGCGAGGGAGGAGCGGAGTGAGAGAGAGAGAGAGAGAGAGAGAGAGAGAGAGAGAGAGAGAGAGAGAGAGAGAGAGAGAGAGAGAGAGAGAGGGGGCATTGTCGGAGAGATGCACACACATCGCGATATCAGATGTCCTCGAATAAACAGACCGGCTCATCCCAGTGTCAGCGTAAGGCGCTCTCATACGTTTTATTATTGTATGATATTACTGGGAATGAATTAAATAATTTTATCACTGTCATAATGGACGTGACAGCGGCGCGAATATTCCGAGGCAGAATCCATAAAAGTTTATGGAACATATGGCGGCGGCAGTCCACTTCTGGTCTGACCAACGAGCCCAACTGGACACAGCCCTCGTTGTGTGAGTGGTTCGGCGCCAGGCCAGGCTGGGACAGCGCCGACAAAGTGCTGTTTGCGACGCCCTTCATCAGCGCGTGTTTTCCGGCCGCGCCGGTCTGTGGGGAGGCTGCTCCATCGTGCTTGACGCCGCGGAGACAATCGGAGACCGTCCCCGCGCCGTGCCCGGCTTCCCGAGGCGATTACACAATGGCGGCACTCGGCCGGGCGCCGGCCGGGTATCCCGCTGAATGGCGATGGGCCGCGGCAATATTACGCGGAGTGCGGTGGACAGCCCTGCGGTCACCGCGCGCTGTCCGGCGGCAGGATCCGCCCGCCGTCGGCCGGTCACCGGAGCCGCTCCGACCCCCGCTGAGCCGATCCGCTGATTCAGCTATTTTGTGACCCCATTCCAGCGGGCAGATGGGGTCATTAGCGCTGAGCGCCGGGACTCGGCGCCGGCCACATGGGCGCCTGAGACAATATGGCGGCGCGAATTGGAGCGCGCGCCACGGCGCCCGGCTGAATGTGGCGCGAAAACGGAATGCGAAATAAAGCCGGGTGGGAGATGGTCCGATAAGCAGAGAAGGAGAAATAGAAATCGAACAATGAGGCGGAATTCCTATGTCTAATGTTTTATCTCCCCGCTGAGTTGCATTGTTGCCAAGGGAGTAAAACAAGAAGCAATTTGATAAACGGATGAGCCAAAAAAGAGAGGCTGAAATGTTGAGCGGAGAAGCCAACACAAGGTTGAGCCATGCCGACAGCTTCCCAACCAAGCCGAGGCTGATTGCCACAAGGAGGAAGCCCTGATCGACCCATCCAGCGCAAAAAAAAAAACATTCACCGCTGAACTTTTCAGAAGACCTCCGCTCAGTCGCAGCGGTACCCTCAACGACCGTTTACTCGCGATCATAAGGATGTGGGCAGGTGGGGCAATGCTGCCGCGTCTCAACAAAGCCAGTTACTGCGGCTGCTAGCTACGGGCCGCGGCTCAACGTACTGATATGGTTACTGGTGAGCTATTCGACTCGCGGAGTAAGTAATGAGGGAAGGAGCAGAAAGACATGGAACACATCAATTTGTGCTCACACATGTGGTGGCAAGAGACGACTGTTATAAGCGCTGTCCGACCCTGGCGGAAGTGCTGTCGGGGATAGCCAGCTCACTTCATCATTCGTTTCCTGGAATGGGTCAGGGGCGGACTGAGACACCAAGCGATCCACCCCAACAGACAAGCCCACCCTTTTTTCTTGCGTGTCCCGCAACCGCGCAAGAAAAGAGAACGCCAGCTCCGGCTCCTCACCGAAAGAAACGAAGAATCTCAGATTGATTTGTGGATGTTCTGTTGCTGGTTACGGAGCGAGCGAAGCGAGCGGAGTCTCATACTGAATTAAGGGAAAATCCTGAGTATGAGCGGCCGGCCGGCCGGCAGTGGGGACGCTCTTCAAAAGCTAATATCTTAGGAACGGGACATCCGATTGACAAGCGGTCTTCTTTACTGAATGTCACTTGGACGTAAAAGTTCTGTGGTGTGATGGCCACCATGCGTTCTTGCCAACCACCGCACGTGGCGCGTGGTAAAGTTGGACATTTTTTAAGAACCCCCAAAATTGCAACCTCAATAACGGCACAACGGTTGGGCCGATTGAATTGAAACTCGGTACACAGTTAGGTCTCCATCAGATAATTCATCTGCATGTGTTAAGGTTGGGGTGCTACAGCACGTGCGCAGTGCGCACGTGCAGGGGGCGCTCCCAGATCTCGAGAACGGCTGGGCCGATTGCGCTCAAATTTGGTACACGGTTGGGGACCAATTAGTAGGGTGCCGTGCAAAAGTCAGTTTGGACCCCGCTTGCACGTGCGCACGTGCAGTGTGCCGCTTCCAGATCTCGAGAACGGCTAGGCCGATTGCGCTGAAATTTGGCACATCGCTAAAGACCGGTTAGTAGGGTGCAGTGCACAAGTTAGTTGGAGGTATCCCCTCGCAATTTCGCACGTGCAAGGCCCATCCTCTCGCTCGCTCCGTTGGTCGCCCAAAAGGCGTTTTACTGTGTTAGTTGTCAGTGTTGTGAGTGTTAGTGAGAACGCCAGCTCCGGCTCCTCACCGAAAGAAACGAAGAATCTCAGATTGATTTGTGGATGTTCTGTTGCTGGGTGTTATCTGTTCTGGATGTTGGTGTATGTCCTGTCGCTGGGTGTATGCTATGTCGGTGGGTGTATGTCCTGTCGCTGGGTGTATGCTATGTCGGTGGGTGTATGTCTTGTCACTGGGTGTATGCTATGTCGGTGGATGCATGTTTTACCGGTGGCGTATGTTCTGTCGTTGCCGCCGGAGTTGACGGTAACAGGAGCCGGTACACACAGGAGCGCCGGCGGCGCCGCGGCGTCTGTAGTGACGGGACAAACAGAGCGGGCCGTGCCGCCCCGGCCGACCAGTCCAAACACCGCCCTGCCGGGCCGTGACGGGGCCGGGTGGAATCACCTGCCGTGAGCCGGCGGGCCGACCGAATTGCCTCCTCGTGTTGTGATCGTGCGGCGACGGGACTCCGATGGTGTTCCACAATTCGCCCGTAATTGGCAACGGAATCGTCGGCCGCTGCACCAGTAGCGTCTGACGGTTTGACTTGATTTGATGTGCCGTGGACAGGCAATTACCCACCAAAATCGATCGAGCAACGTTCACAAATACGCCCGCGAATCCACGTCGGTTCAGTCGTCAGTCTTGATGGATGGAACACGACGTGCCGACTGCTGATGTGTGCAGACTGGAACAGAAATAGCCGGTAACGGCAAATGTGACCGCCCTGACGGCCCACCGCAAACTTACCGTTTAATGGGATCTGAGTGCCTATCGATTCTCCATCGGTCCCATTAAACTTGATGATAGTGGCATGCTTTAATCAGTACCTACATACGTGAACTGAGCGACAAGACCAGTAATTGACTTCATCATACTAAGCACACAGTATTTTGCAGGCTCTGATATGATATCGGCTGATCTAACGGTTTCGACTTTTCTAACTGTTTCGACTTTTCAATGATACAATGTCCAATGTGCATAACATAAGGGCGCACTATAATAGAAGCTATTGGGGCCTTCCGCCTACACAATTTTCGTCTGATCTTGCTCTGAGGCACACTATTTTTTAGAAACACAAATAGGTCAGTGGAAAGTACATCATTTCGCCTCGTATTTATATCCAGAAACATGTCTAAAATTAGCGACCATGCTGAATGCATTCCTTCGTATCCTTTCCGTCATCTCATCAGGGCTGCCGGTGGTGGCCGACCGCGTCCTACCGCTGGCATTCAGCCGGTGTGTGTGTGTGTGTGTCTGTGTGTGATTAGGGCCGGCCGGCAGCGAGCTGTTTATTGGCGGATCGAACGGGCCGGCCGGCGCTAATTCCATTGTCGGCTTCGTGTCAGATATCGGTCGTCCCTCCCCTCTCCCCGCCTCACCGGCTGCCGGCTCTCCCTCCCTCCCTCCCTGAAGAAAGAGAAGGTCGTCACGGTCGGGCGGAGTCGCCTTTTGGACCTGTGTGAGAGTGCGGACAAAAACGCATAACGATGGTTCACCATGGGACCAGCCTGGTCAGCCAGCATCACAGAAGAACAGAATTGAGACGAGTGTTTGCTGCAGGACGCGATTTCATATAGTAGCACGAGGTGTTATATTGACCGCCAAAGTGAGCATATTGAACATTAAGTAATAAATGGTTCTAGGCCGATTGGAGCTCGCCCTGATAAGCATCGCTTGCGTGTTTCAGGCAACTATTCACGGCTGAAGCTGAACATCCAGTTCGAGCGATCGATGGGCTACTATCTGATCCAGATGTATGTGCCCTCGGGACTGATTGTCGTCATATCATGGGTGAGTAGATAAATGCATCAGGACATAACTCTTTCTCCTATCTTTTTTCCGTCATGCTTCGGGGCGATACTCAAGGCCGTAGTCTATATTTCCTGGACCATTGTTATTTGTTTGAAGCTAGATAAAAAGGTGGTTTAACGAAGCTTTCAATAAACGTTTCAAAAAAGTGTAGTAAATTTAAAACAGATTATTATTTAAAATTATTAGGGCAACTCAGGATAATAACGATCGCATCGCATCCATGATCCACACGGTCTTTTTGAAAATGGCCTAGCTATAATTTAACGCATCCTTAGGTCTTGGTGTCTTCTTATGTTCAAATTTACCTCCAATATAAATGTTTTATATTTCAATTTTCAACAAAGGATATTCGTGCATGTTCTTCCTTTCCATGTGATTTAACTCCGAGTTTGTATGTGCTTGATGCATCGACTTAATTTTATCGTGTCATCTCACGCCTAAAAAAGTATTCTCGATTGATGATGGTATTTGCACGCATCACACTCGTCGTCCAAAATGTAATTTCTGAGTGATGTTTTGTCGAAGGTATCGCAAGTTATTAGGTCCAATTAACTTAATGATGCGTGCAGATGTCGAATGGAACCCTCACCTGGCTACTTGTATGCCTAAGCAATGCATGAAACTGATCGTTAGACATGACTTTACACACAGTTTACTATGATCAGGGCCGTCCCAGTGTAGTGGCTGTTCCGGGGCCTGCGGCGCGAGTAATGTGAGCGTTCCACTGCAGGTGAGCTTCTGGCTGAACCGCAACGCCACGCCTGCTCGAGTGGCTCTGGGCGTGACCACCGTGCTCACCATGACCACCCTCATGTCGTCCACAAACGCTGCCCTGCCCAAGATCTCCTACATCAAGGCCATTGACGTCTACCTGGGCTACTGTTTCGTCATGGTGTTTGCGTCTCTGCTCGGTAAGATATCGATAAGCCGCGACTATCGCCATTCGGTCTGCCGTCCCCAGGTCAGCTTCTGGCTGAGCCGCAACGCCACTCCGGCACGTGTGAACCTGGGAGTAACTACTGTGCTCACCATGACTACCCTCATGTCGTCCACAAACGCAGCCCTGCCCAAGATCTCGTACATCAAGGCCATTGACGTCTACCTGGGCTACTGTTTCGTCATGGTGTTTGCTGCGCTGCTCGGTAAGACACCGAGTTAGGCGTCGTTACTAGAATGGGGCAGCAGGCGACCGAGAGCGACCCGACAATCATAGGACAGGGGCAACGTACAGAACGCACAAAATTTGGGATGAAAACGCACGTACACGTGCGTTTTTACCCATACCCATACGTGCGTTTTTTTAAACGCACGTACACGTGCGTTTTTACCCATATGTTTACATACGAGTACAACGTTTTATAAAACATTGGGCCAGAAAGGCTTCCTTGGTGAAAGCTGGTCATAACTCATAAAGGACGCCTGGACCTTATTACCAACTTGTATTACAAATATTATTGCCGCAATAAAAGAAGCTATAAAATACTTTGTACTTTGAGTTTTAGGCCAAAGTTACTAATTTGAAGGACGTCACGAGAGATGGCATGACACCCCGGTCACCACGCAACCCTGGCCAACAGCAATCCTGCTAGCAGGCGAACAGGCTGGTCGACAAGTGCTTACATTATTACTGTCTAACATAGATTTAGACAGTCAAAGTGATGCACAAATTGACATTCGACATGCATGCACAAAGGCAGATAGACAAAGAGTCAAACCGACAGACCCACCGGCAGACATAAAGACACAAGCAGATAAACTGACAGACAAATAGACAGACCAACAAACAGAGAAACAAAGCCGTCAAGACTGAAGACTGGACGGACGGGCATCGGGCCAGAGTCATCTCTGAGGCTTGCTCATGCTCCGAGAGCTCTTGGCGGGGGCGGCGAGGGGGGCGGCGAGGGGGGCGGGGGCGGCGGACACGGCTCGGTGCGTCGCTGACGAGCAGTCGAGTCGACAGCTGCAGCGCGCCGATGACTCGTGAAAGACGCCCCGTGATGGCCGATGACGCCGTACTGATGACGCCGATGACGCCGCGCTGATGACGCCGATGACGTATTGACCGGCCATGTCTGACCGCCGCCACCGGGAGGGACGCGGTGACCGGTGGACCGTCTGACGGACTCACCCTCAGACGCATGCAGTGATCGGAGAATTGTCGGTATAAGGGGCTTCACAGGGCCTGTCGGGCGATGGCTTTATGAGTGTCGATTGGAAAATCCGACAGATCGAAGAGAAACGGTGCCTACGAGTCGGAACGATACGCTTAAATTCATTCGTTAAATAGAATACAATGAGGTATCGTTGTGAGCAAGGATAGTTATGACCTGTCTGCTATGATCGAGATCAAACGGTTTCACCCAGTCACATGGATGTTATACTGTACATGTTTTGGTGAAATGTAATTGTTTAATTGCAATGTTTTCGGTATATATAGTTAACGATGCTTAAGTGCCCAATAATGTATGTATGCCGAGGGCAATGAAGCGATTATCTATGCCTAAGAAGGATATATTGACAATATGTCGCACAGCTGGTTAGACAATACGATACGATAGCTGTACGACTTTAATTTTATTTTCTACATATATTAACCCGTATTGTGTGTTGATGTTTCCTCACCTCGACTTCAGTTTATCATATGCATATTTGCTACCCAACAGGCTTTCCATTAAATTTGAATGCTTCTAGCAAAATGATTATTCATGTAAATTGCAATCTAACGACCATACATAAGCATTCATCATATGCAAATAGGCGGCATATTTAGGAAACGGCCTTTGACGGCCCGCGCTATTCGTTGAGCACATGCGGTCATGTCCATGATGAATTGAACATGTCGTAAGACGATTTGGTAGTTTTTTCTGCAAGCAACTGTTAACAATATTGTTGAAATAATGGAATAAAGAGCACTTTATCCCTCGCCGGACCTATTGGTTTTCTACATACGCGCCGGCCGAGGGGGGGGGGGGGCGCGCGACCCCCCCCTCGCCGTTTCGCCCCTGGTGGAGCTAGCGCGTCGCGGAAAAAAACGAGCGTGTGCACCGTTACGAGACGCAGAGATTGGTACCCGATTTTAAGGTCCTAGGTCAACCGGTGAGTGGTGACCTCTGAGGTCAGGTCAAGTGCCCCAGGGTACGGTTCAGTTTTTGGTGAATAACTTCGCAAAAAACGGCCGCAGAGTCGCGATTTTGGCAGCATCGTGTTCGCCTCGCTCAGGCGCGTCGAATGGTATACTTTTTGTTCGGGTCAGGTCAACTTAGGGTGTTGACCTCAGGTCAAGGTCAGGTCAGCACCCCCAGGTCACGAAGTGTCGAAAGAGGTCATGTCGCATATCATTCGATTCGGAAGGTCTTCCTGAGTCCATTGGTGGCTTTCTCGACTCGCTAGCTCAATTTGATCGGGAGTTATTGACGAAAAACTAATATGACCTTGATGACGTCATAAATGACGTCACGGAAGGTCAGCATTGCAAAAGTGACGCATCTAACCTTGCAAGGAGTGCATCAAATCACGATTCTGTGTGCTTGAGATAGTTGGAGATCGTTCCCGGTGCCAGAATAGCAGTTTTCATTTTTCCCCGTTGACTTATAATGGTGAGGTCACGAAAATGACCTGACCTCATATGACCTTTAGGAAAAATCCGAGATATACAAGTTGTGAGACTCATAATGGATACTAGATCCTGCAAGTTTCATTTCCCTGTGACATCTCCTCTGGCAGTGAGGGTGTTGCGAAGTTGCGACATCTGAAGACCGTGCAGAGGTTCACTTATGACGTCATAGGTCAGTGACCTAACCTGACCGAAAAATGCGGTTGGTGTCAAAAGATGTGGCTTGGATCAAAGGTCGGGTATGCCAAGTTTCAGCTCTCTATCGCCAGCGTGTTCGGAGCTATCGCGAAAAAAAACCCTATGGGGGCGGCACCCGCCCCCCCCCCCTCGGCCGGCGAGGGTTATATGACGGGCAGTGATGCAACATCTTCGGCTTACTGGCTACCATAATGGATCTTTCTCACTGACTTAACGCTCTCCGTTCTAATTTATAGCCATAGCATGGCCATATAGGGTTACACTGCTGGCTTCCATTTCTGGCTTCGCCGATGACTGAGATCATTGGCTACATTGCTGACTGGCGTTTGAAATGTCCCATGCTAGCTGTTGTATGGAATTTTCCTGTTAGCTGATGTTCCTGAAGGTACTATGGTTAATTGTTGTTCATAGTCATGGATTTGACTAATACGACTTCCCTGCTGACTTTCTTCAATCGTCACCCTGGGAAATCTTGGTACCTTGATAGCTGATACCTTGATACCCCGATACGCTCTTGTTGCCTTGACTGATCTTCTAACCGCCACTTCACGCCTGACATCTGCATATCCTCTGCAGAGTACGCCTACGTCGGCTACATCGGGAAGCGGATCTCGATGCGGAAGACGCGCTACATGGCCATGCAGAAGATGCTGATGGAGCAGCGGCAGGAGGTGCAGAGCCGCGCACACTCGGGTGTGGTGGTCGCGCCGGAGGAGCACACGCCCAAATCGGCCGTGAGTGAAGTGTGGGGAAAGGGAGCGGGTTAGATGACAGCGGGAGGGACTGTAGGGAATTTCAGAGGACAGGGGAAGGGATAAGGGATCACTCAGAAACAGAAAAGCCCATTAGGTTGTCTCGGAGGCACCTGGCACGTCTTTGCAAAGAGCCACCCTTTTTTAGACAATTTTGTTTTTTATTTGGGCTTCAGTTAAACCACCAACATTTTTATCTCTGGAGATAATGCGTTGGAGACCATACGCTGGTGTACATTGGTCTCTTTGGAGACCATACGTTGGTATACATTGGAAAAGTCGCGGCGCGCCCGGAATCGAACCGGCAACCTTTCGATTTACGATCCGCAACTCTACCCATTGAGCTACTGAGGCACCTTTATGTAGAGGCCACAGATGGCATTCTGTACCAGCGGCGGCGGCGGCTGACAGGCTGTCGTAACGACTTCGGTCGTGTTTTTTTAGAGATTGGCAGCGTTTGTGGTGACGTTGGTCGTTGGCCAAGTGTGGATGATGTGCAGTGATAGAGTGGATGTTTGTTCACCTTTGATGGCATTTTGCCGTTCGTTCAAATGCGTTCAAATGCGCAGTTGTTGGGAAATCTCCTGGAAGGGGGATCGCTAGCAAGAATTTCTTTTGATGTGCAGCGCGCGGATCGAATCCGCGGACCGTCAAGACATTCGTTCATGGAGACACCTGGGGGGTCTTCTGGACAACGGCACGGCTTTAAAAACTTCCAATGTTATCTCAAAGAAGGTCGCTGTATCGATGTTGAGATTGATTGAGATAGTCGGCATACTAAACCTTGGCTTTCTGGAAATTTCGACATCTAATGTCTCCGTGTCAAGAGCATTTACCGGAAATTGAGACTGGCCGGATACCTCGGAGTAAACCAATCATCGAATGTTCTAAAAACTGTTTCTGAGTGATGTTGATAGATAGCTTCCCTGAGAACGTGAATAGACGTGCAGCAATAGCTAACGTCATGATTGTGACGTCTAATGTCAAATTATACATTTTTTTTCCTGTTGATTTTTCACTGCATAAGCCTGTCCACCATCTATCATTACAATTAGAGGGTCTTTCTCATTTCTTCTTTGTGACGGGCTCAGTGTGCCAATATTTCAATCAGACACTAGCCATTATGTAAGCGTTCCTCTAACTTACCGACCATTGCCTATCAATCAATGATCTGTCAGCCGCCTGGAGGACCCGTTTATCAATAAGTCCGTCTGTTGTATGTCTGTGTGTCCGTCTGTGTGCCATCACGTGTGCCCTGCTGTGACAGATGGGCAGCATGAGGCGGGGCCACGCCGGCCACCCGGGCACCTTCCAGGGCCACGCCTACCAGGGCCACATGGCCCCGCAGTGTCACGACGCTCGGGATCAGCACACATGTGTAAGTATCTCGGCATCGTGACTTTTACTGGGACCGTTACTGGACGGAGGAAGGGACATCGCGATGCAATATGAACGCCCTCTTCCGTGGGTCTTCTTTGAAAACGAGGAACTCCTGGCTCGTACAACACGAGTATCGGACATTATGCAGATGCGTACAAATGAGTTCTCGTCACACGTCTATCCAGCTTTGATTTCTGTATGGAAGCTAGACACACACTAAATCTGTGACAGAATAAAGGCTGAAAACGCTGTCGGAATGACTCCATTATTAGCCAGTTTGTTGAGACATCAGAGCCTCGCACGAGTTAGTGTGAAATTGATTGGCTCCGTTAATCCCATGTTGCGTAATACCATTGCATTTAAAATATAACATCACTTATTCAATGGTTTCGAAAAATGTTTAAGACGGTGGCAAACTCGTCAAAAAGGACGGGTGCTCATGACTCGGGGACTCTTCTGAGGTCATAGGTAACATAAAACACCAGCGATTCTCCTAAAGACATTTGGTCAGCCCACGTGGTTGAACACAAGTTATTTGGGGCTGGCATTGAAGTGCGAGAATATCGCCTCTCGTCTTCATACGTGGATAGTAACATGCCACTTACTTCGCTGGTCACATCGATGGGTTTGGCCTTGCGATGATGACAATAATTTTAACTGATTGGTTGAGTTTGAGGGCGCTGGGAATTCATCATTTATCGGCGTCCATTTTCTCGTACCAGGGACCCGGTCACTAATGTGTAACTAATGAGCATAGTATTGATCTTATAATGGCTCCAGTGATTAACGATAAGAAATTATTCACCTACGCTTAATTTATGTCACATTATTACAAGGCTGGACGGGAAATCTAATAGCTTTATCTCGTCATCAAATCAACCCGGGATACACAGCCGAGATTACATGGCGCTGCGGTAACCTTTCAAATACACCAAACGGAATAATTGCCACGATGCCTCCCCCCACCCCACCCCCTATCATAATCATTCGGGATGCAAGGCAAACGACTAACCGTGATCCTGTCTGGTGTGCGCCTGTGTGTCTGCGTGTGTGTCTGCGTGTGTGTCTGCGCGTGTGTATGCGGTTGTGTTCGTCTGTGCAGCAGCACTTTCAGGAGGTGCGGTACAAGGCGCTCGACCCCAAGGCGCACTCCAAGGGCGCTGCGCTGGAGAACACGGTCAACGGAGGACGCTCGGGTGACGACGAGTCGGGCGGAGTGCCAGGTGAGTGCTCACGGGCCTGTAAATTATGCAATTATGCCTACTTACTGCTAATGCCTACATACGCTCCAGCCTGTACCTGAATTACACCAGCATACTGTTTAAACTATGTACATACACTGACACCGTAGGACAATGGACATCTATGTACATAAAACAACGCTGAATATCTACAACGTTCAATCCATTAGTGGAAACACCTTTTTGTTCAAAAGAGAGTGAAGAACAACCGATAGAATATCTAAATGAATGAGCTGAATAATGAATGAATCAGCAGAAACCGACGACGAATGGTCAATGGCTAATCGCTCTGTCAGATTAACTTGAATGAATGAATGGGGACAAAATGAATGAATGGTCTCGGGGTGGATTCCGCCGACTACAGTGCTAATCAGTTACAGTTGAGTGCCGCCGAGAGCAGCTAATTAGCCCGGACAGAAAGGAGGCGGTTCTCTCTAGTGAAGAGCCGGCTGGGCTGCTTACGGGAGTCGAGAGGTTGCTGAAGTCAGCTGACGTGAAGTGAGAGGTTCCCACTTGGCTAATGTTAGCCAAAGTCACTAGACTATGCTGACTATAGTCGATGGGGTCACTTTATAAAACAGTCGGCGGCCCCTCCGGTCAGTTCAGCCCATATGGAGCTGCTCAGCTGCCCAGCTCCCTCTAAGAGGCGCGGCCCCCTCCAGTCAATCCAGTCCTGTGGCGCCTCTCAGCCGTCCCCCCTCCAGTCAGTCCAGCCTTGCGGCGCCTCTCATCCGCCCCCCCCCCCCCTCCAGTCAGTCCAGTCCTGTGGCGCCTCTCAGCCGTCCCCCCTCTCTGAGAGGCGCGGCCCCCTCCAGTAAGTCCAGTCCTGTGGTGCCTCTCAGCCCCCCCCCCCCGCAGCCGGCCCTCCAGCGGCCCGTGGCGGGGCCGTCAGCGGGCAGTGGCCGGCGCCGCTGATGACCGCTGCTGGGGAGCGCCTCGTCAGCGTTCAGCCGGACACGGCTCTCCTCTCAGCTGGCGCTCCCCGCCGGCCGCCGGCACGACTCATTAGCTGAGCGGCACCGGCCGGCGACCGGACAGCGGCGCACCCGGCATATTGCATTATAGCCGTATTGTTTGTTTATTTTGCGAAAATGGTGAGGGAAAGACATCCCAATAGTCTTCCTCTGCTCTCCACATTTCTGGCCTAACGCTGTTCTCGGACATCGACATCGTTACTCCCTCTCTCTCTCTCTCTCTCTCTCTCTCTCTCTCTCTCTCTCTCTCTCTCTCTCTCTCGCTCTCTCCGCTTCGCTCTGAGTCTCCACCACTTTTCCACTCACTATCATCGACTGCACGACCCTTTGCTCCCAACTCTCAGTGACCGCTTCTCGTCTTCCGTTTGACCCTTCGTTGTCCGTCCCGGTCAGTACATCCATACGAGCACAGCGGCACGGTCGCAACCACAGTGCTGTACTCTGTTCCATGTCAAGCTTGCGGCCGAAGTGCTCTGCTTAAAGTTGTGCGTGTTTTTGTACACACAGCCCTTACATTCAAATGCGCAATTTTTAACGGAGGAGCGAACTGCCTAAGGAACTCCGCCCACAAGCTTGATATGGAACAGGACCAGACATTTATAGCGATAGTGCAGCCACCAGCCAGCTAGGCATTCACCAATCACACTGGCTACACCATCAGCCTCACACCGCCGCACTAATCGACGACTAATTACATCGCAAACTCGGCGTTACCGCGGCGCCGTGGATACGGCGTGGCTCGCAGCCGTATCCAGTACCGCCACATCCGTCATAACGTCACGAATCAGTCACAGTTCACGGTAGGGACACGTCAATACGGAGCGCGGGGGAAGCAACCGGCCCGGTGTGTGGCCATGCTTCAACTAGATCGCGTTTCAGGCCGACATTTATAGCGACAGTTTTCCAATAGTGAGCGGGTATTTACCGGACCAGCGAGGTAAAAGGTCTTTTGGATGGAGTAATGACAGTCGATCAGGCGTGGAAATTATAGTAGAAATGGTGATGTAGAATGCGCAAAATTCATTTACACGCTATGATTGGCCATAAGTGATGTCATTGAATAGTCTTATTGGCTGATCATAATTACATAGCGCAACTATTGAGTTCTCACAACTTACAGACGCCTACATGCCAGCATTATTATAATTAGGAGGTACCTAAGGACGGTCCGATTCACCGCGCACAGGTGCCAGATTAGTCCCCCGCATCACTGCCAAAATCATACCGCCAATGTCTACACTATAGTGCCATCGGATCTGCAGTCTGCACCCGCACACACCCCAGAGCTCCCTAGTCAGTCACATGGTACCCGATCCGGTCCATAGATGGCGTTAGTTGTTTACGCCTGGATTGGTATGCTGTTCCGCAGAGCACGACTCGCGGGACGGGAGCGCTGGCGCTGCTATACATTGGGTGGAGTGGTGAAGCTCGCCGTTTAGCTCAGCGGTTAGCAGTAAGCTGATAAGAGCAAGCTGATTTGAGCCATCCGTCTATTTAAGTCATTGTAAAGGCACACAACATCCTGCATACCTACCTGGCGTCTGAGCTAACATTATTACCATGGTTATCATGCGTTCCCTCCAAGTCTCGCCTGTTTTCAGATATTTCAAGCTCCTTGACAATGTCATTCTTTTCACAGGGATTTTGCAAAACAAGAAGCTGGATACAATCATGGGCTGCAGCTCTTCAGACGTGGACAAATACTCGCGGATCGTGTTCCCCGTGACGTTCATCTGCTTCAACCTCATGTACTGGATCATCTACCTGCACGTCAGCGACAAAGTGGCCGCCGATCTGGTGCCATTCGTAAAGGAGGTGTGAAGAGGCCGACGAGCCCGGTCCACAAGAACACAGCCAGTACTCAGCAAAAACAACGGTCTGAGTCGGTTAAGACAACAGAGGAAATAGCCAAAATCGGTTCAGACCTCAGAGGAAGTGGCCACTGGCCAGAGCCGGTGCAGACAGTCTACAGACCTCGGCTGCGTGAAACAGACTGCAAAGGGAGACGCCGTGCGGAGAAAAGACTGCACAGCGAGTGGTGCGGCTATCTCTGGCCGACTGCGGACACGGGCCAGCCTGGCGCGCTGACTCCGGCTTCTCTTGGCATTTATTTCAGTGGTATTATCATGGTTCTGCGCTGGGCGGGTGATCTTTATATTACGGTAGGGTGCAGGTCGCGGCGAATCGCACTGGCTCCGTTTGTATGTGTGTGTGTGTGTGTGTGTGTGTGTGCTGTGTCGGCGCAGGCGGTTATGTGGTCAGTTCGCTGGTCGGGGGAGGATATGTCAGTTCGCTTGTAAGGGAAAGGTTGGATCAATGGTTCAGTTCGTTGCTCGGCGGAGGATGTTCGCTGGTAAGAGAAGGAAGGTGGGCCAATGGGTCAGGTCGTTGGTCGGGGGAGGCAGTAGGGTCAATTTGCTGGTCAGAGGAGGCGGTTCGGTCAGCTGGTTGGTCGGAGGCGGCAGCCGGACTGGCTCTTCTCAGAGCTGTTCGCTGGCGGTGGATGTAGACGACAGCAGCGCTGTAGGTGGGGTGCTCGACGTTTTATAGCTATTTTTATATCCTCCTGATTTGTGATGCGCCATATAAACTATCCCAGGCCCGGCCAGCTCGGCCGGCGGCGCTCCACCGGTCCGGGAGCCGGCCGCCCGCAATACATCTGGCCGTCCTCAGCGGCTCCAGCGCTCGGCCACATCTCCCGTCGTTCTCTGCTCTAGATGAGTCCATGTAATTGCTCAATGGGTGGCCGGTGAGTCGGCCGGATCGGCGGCGCTGCGCGGCTCCTTCACCATCAGCCAGAGCCAGCTCCGGCCGACCCCGGCGCGTCTGTCTGTCTGTCGGTCTGCCGGCGCGCGGTATGTATGCGTGTGTGCGCGGCTCCGCTGCGGCCACGGTCGCAGAACGCTCTCCCGTCTCCCTGGCGTTGGTCACGTGACTCAGTGGTCTGCACACGTGACCCAATCACGTGTCCGGTGCGCGAGCCAATCAGCGTGTCGTCGGACAGGAAATGTGCTGGCCGCGCGGCCGGCGGCTACCACTGCTCAAGCGGCCCGGCCCGGCCCGACGCGCCCCTCCGGCCCGGTAATGTCTCTCCGCCTAGTCGCGCAGCCCGCCAGCAGCCGGCCCGGCCCGTTCTGTTCACTAAGTATTCCGGTCGGCCGCCGGACCGTAGTTGGTTGACATCAATACATGCTGTTGTTGATATTCGGTGATCAGATTTATCAATACATATTTAAAATATGCAGACAGCGTAGTCGCAGTGTTCCGGTGTATTGTGTTATAACTAGGTAAAGGCAAGTAAACATCTGTTAGAAAATATAGAGTACAAACATGGATGGCGCACTGTGTGAGCTATTCGTTGCAGTTCACCCGAGAAAACTTCATGAAATGACCTACGAAAGGCACTCTCTAACAACAGTAACAAGTGTGAAGACCTATGGTATCGAGCTGCGCACTGGAATGAATGCATATCGGTCCACGCAAACCAACAACAATGACATGAATATGGCAGTCATGACACGAGGCACAATAGACTAGATCCATTAGATAACAGTTACTCATGCAGTTACTCATGTACGAACAATGTTCTGTAAATGAATATCAAAAGCACTCGATGACGCGTCACTGAAACAAGCGCTTCTCATCCTGCTGAAATATCACAAGGCACAATCACTCTAGTGTCAGGACTTCACAGCATTGGCTACGGGTTTTAGCCTGACAAACCCAGCCATCACCAGGACCCCAGTCTATCACAGCGAAATACCCAGCAAACACAGCAAGCCACCAGTCAGCAGCGAGATCCCGGACCCGCGTTGGCCTTCGAACAGCGTCACTCTCAGATAGTCACGCGAGCGACATCAACCAGACGCCATGACGTCACGAAACCGAGCCAGTCGGCCTGACAGCTGACATACTCGAGCTGCGTCCGATAAGGCGTCATGACTTCATGTTGAGACCGAGCCAGTCAGCTCACGACAGGCGTCCTCAAACCGAGCCAGTCAGCTCACGACAGGCGTCCTCAAACCGAGCCAGTCAGGCCGCTCGCGGCAGGAATCCTCAAACCGAGCCAGTCAGCTCGCGGCAGGCGTCTTCAAACCGAGTCTTGTGTTCGGGCCGGACAAACTGCGCGAATCCTGTATCCGAGGGGACATGGAGTAATTTTTCTATCCGGATAAGAGAGTGGGTCTAAAATGATAAAAATAAACTACTCCAAGCGCATGTCTCACGGTATCGTGGGCGATGGCTGATGAGTACATGCTAGGCTGCAGGATAAAACTATATATAGCTATACCCTTACTCCGAAATACCACGTTGTATATTTTTACCTAACCAGTAACAACCCAAGGTAAATAAAGTACAACTTACAAACAGCAGGTACAACAGAACTCACCTCTGAAGAGCTGCTGCAGCTGCTGGTCGCCGGTGCCCACCAGCACCCCGGCCAGGCTCGACACCAGCTCTGGGAAGTCGCGCGTGGCCGTGTAGCCCTTGATCGCCGCCGCAAACAGCTTGTAGTCGGCGGCCGACAGCAGCCTCTTGGCCTGCCCGGCGACAGGGGCGGGGACCGGTCAGAGCTCCGCGACCGTCACTGCGGCGGCCTGCCACCATCGCAACAGGACACCGGACAAACGCGGGTCAGCGTGCCCCAGGCAGGCATACGGTCACAGAATGAAAGGAGCGCGGCAGAGCAAAACACCGGCAGCAAGCGGAGCCATTCACCAACCCCCGGCCTCTCTTTTACCGCACACAGCGCGGAAAATGTCCCCACACAGCCGTCAAACGCGGTGGACGACCCACATCGGCGATATAAGAGCCCTTAAAGCCATTTGAGTAGTTCCAAAGCGGGGAGTTTTCTAGGAATTCTGCTGGTGGCACTCCAACTTACCCCAATTATGTAGTCGGCGATCTTGCTCTTCTTTTTGGCGTCCTTCTCGGGAGCTGCAGCTGTCGCCTTCTCGGCAGCTGCGGCGGCTGCTCCCGTCCCGTCGGGTGTAGGACTGGCCACAGCTGTATTGCCCGCGCCGGCCCCTGTCCGTTCGTCGGCCCTGGCTGTCTTGTTCGGAGGCGAACAGTCGGTGGCCAGCACAGCAGTGCTATCAGGCACCCGTCTGCCGCCCAGAACTAACGCCGCCGGGTTGTGCGACAGCTTGAACTTTCGGCCCCGGCCCGCGGCGGGGGCGGAGGTCGCATCAGCAGCACTAGCGAGGGTAGTGACGGGCGCAGACTGACAGGTCCGCTCTGCCTTCACGGTCCCGGGTGCGCCAGCCGCTGCCCCTGCCGCCCCACTCCACTTGTTCATCTGATCTAGCAGTCCCCCACCGCTGCCGGCCGTCCCAGGCTCGGTCTTGCTGCCACTGCCGGTCCGGCCGTACATCTGCACCAGCGAGGCGGAGTTCGCGGACCCCTGCTCCGGCACACCGCCGCTGCTACCGTTGCTGTCTGATCGAGCTGCTGACACGCGGGACGGCGCGAACGCGAAGGTGGCGTGGGTGGCCGGTCCGGCGGGTCGGTCACTGGCTGCCGCGGCCGGCTGGCTGGAGCACGGGTACTGAAACAGTGCCCGGCGGTGGAGTGAATCTGGTGTCCGCCAGGGGTAAGGGAGACGTCTATGTAGAGACGGAATAATGGGATCATTCTCTAATTCTGGACTACCGTGTAATACTGCATATCCAGAAACAGCTGGCATTTGCAACATACCATCAGCTAAGCAGTAGCGTGCTACAAAGGTAATGTGATTGACAACAGAGCTAAATATCACAATATTTAATGCCGTTATTTATCAAGCAAATCAACCAGCTTCTTCTTTGAGAAGTTGCACCAGTAAAGCACTCCTTCCGTATGGCATAGATGCCGAGTTTTCCCACGTGAATATGAGTAGTGTTCCCACACCACCTTTGCGCCAACACTGCACCTCTAGCTCTTCGCGACATACCTTCTCCTGGCAGGATTTGAAGAACTGGGTGAGTTCTCGCACCACGGTGCCAAAGTTGGCGTGCACACGTAGGTAGGGCCGAACCCAGGCCGACAGCTGGCCCGAGAACCCCGCATCTCCGAAGCGCGAGTCACACAGGATGACGGCTCCGTAGTCTCGTCGGTGACGGATGACGCGTCCGACCGCCTGGTTGACGGCGCGTGACGCCTCCAGACGGTACCAGTCCTGGCCGGAGAGGCCCTGCGCGCCGCCGGCGCCACTCGGAGTCCGGCGGACCTCGTCCAGGTACTGCCGCTTCAGCACCACCCGCGGGTCCTTCAGCGGCGGGTACGGCAGGCCGGTGATGATGACGGCGCGGCCGTTCCTGGGGAGCGAGAAGGGGTGTTAGTCTCAGCTAACAGTCTTCCGGGGAGTGATGGGCACTGGTGATCATTACAGCGTCCTATTTGGAGTAAAAGGGGCTGGTGATCACAGTGTGCCCGTTACTGATTGGGTAAGAGAAACTGGAAAGGCGGAACTGATAAGTGCTAACACGTTCTTCCCGAAAAGAACGGGACTGAGGAAGGAGGAAACGGAAGGACATTAGCTGACTTATCTGTTTTAGTACTGGAATGGAAACTGGAAGAAATCATAATGGGGAAGAAAGACAGGTCATGGCAGAGAAAGGGAATGAGGAAAAAAGGGCGAACCAGCAACAACTTATCACTACGTTCCTGATTCGACCAGCATCCCACCTGTCGGAGAAGTCGAGTCCCTCGGAGACCTTGCCTCGACACACGGCCATGAAGCAGGCGCCGCGGGTGCCCTCGGTGGGGCTGATGATGCGGCTGTAGTAGTCGTTCATGTTCTGCGCAAACACCTCCTTCCCACCCGTCTCCACAAACACAGACTGTAACACAAACAGCACTTGCCTGAGCGGTCACAACAATGACTCTCCCGCCCATATCCACAAATAGCGAATGTAGCACAAACAAAACTGGTCCCCAGACGTATTCTAGTAGCTAAGAGCAATTTGAGATTGGTTTAGAAAGTAAATGCTTATGCCGACTCTTTTATACATCCAAAAATGCATACTCGGTAATTTTTCGAGTTTTGCAAACGAAAGAATATCGACGAGAAATAAACAGGAAAGGAAAGGCTAAGGACGATAACTACACCACAAATGAAGCACCTCAGCACGTACCTTGTTGGCGGCGATGCGACCCCAGACTCCGTTCGTCTGCCACGCCTCATGGCACGCGCGCAGCATCGAGTAGGACGGAAAGAAGACGAGCAGTCCGTCGGGCACCAGACGGGCCACGTTGGCCACCGTCTGCCCCAGTGAGCTGAGGTAGCGGGCACTGGTGCGGTTCTGGTAGCTGGAGCTGAGGGGCGTGCCGTCCGGACCGCGGCTGATACAGCCCACCCACACCTGGTCCGACTGAATGATGTGGGGGTTCTCTAGGCTGATGGGGAACGGCACCTGGTGGAGAGCAAGGGTATGGGGAGTTAACCACACATAATGAGAGGGGAATGGGGTAATAAAAGTCGAACACTCCGAAACAAAACCATACAGTCTGCACCCCAGAGACTGGAAGAGAACGGCCACTGACTACGGAGATCATGAGTATGACCAGATCACCAACACACACATAATTCAAAAAGAGCGTTTAGCAAGCCCTGAAATGAAAACACAGGTAGCTAGGGGGAGGAGCCCTTGCGAACAAAAGTCAGACAGCGCCACCACCACCACCATGGAGCTCGAGTCCCACACACACGAACCTGCAGTTCGGAGGTGAAGGAGCTGAGTGGCGCCAGTGTGCCGCTCGTCAGCAGGACACACTTGACTCCCTGATCCATCAGATCGGCCATCCTGGGCAAAAGGGAGAGAGGGAGACGGGGTAAAACGACGATCAGGGTAGTTTTACACATCGGGACAAACACTTGTAATAAAACATGGAGTTTGAAGCCGCGATTGATTATGAACAAATGACTTCATTCCGTAGCAGACATAAGTTGACAATTGCAACATACTGTGCACGCACTCAATGTCCACCAATATTTGGAAATATTTGAAACAGATCATCTCCACTGAAGCAACAGTTTTCACTTTCCACTCACCCGAACCCGGGGCTGAAGCACCAGTAGGAAAGGACGCGGCAGTCAGCGGTCGACTGCGCCTTCTGCCATGGGTCGTTTCTCGGCCGCTTGCCGGCCTTCTGCTGCTCCAAACCCACGTGTACCTGGTGTGAAGGTGAGGCAGTGTCAAAGGTAAGATCGCAGTCAGCAACAGTGCGCAGGAGCGGTTGAGTCTCCGCACAAGCAGAGTGTAACGAGGCGGGTAACAGCGAATTACTCTACCATCGAATTAATCGCTAACTTATATCGATTATAAGCGCTTGCCTGCCTCATATCGAACGTAGGCACTGTAATCGCTACCCATGACATTTTCCGAACAGAACTGAAGACTGTCCCAATGATATCCTCCTAAGTATAACAAGCAAAATATTTTCTGACACCATAATGGAAGCTATCTCGCAATCCGTCACATTTCTCACCTTGTAGCACTTCTTGACTCGCTCCATGTGCTTCAGGTCGAACGTGTCGCGGTTGAAGACCACCTTGATGAGGTCGGCAAACTTCTGCAGCCCGTTGCCGCGCCGGGAGAACACCGAAGTCGCCGAGTTGGTGAGGAACGAGATCACCTTCTCCAGTTCCTCGACAATCACCGCTCGCCGGCCGTGAGTGATCTGCGCCCGCTCCAGCAGCTCGAACATGTAGCTGCCCGGGAAGTGGGCGCCGTCGGCAGCGTTCGGCAGCGGGATGGCGTCGATGGCACGCTCCAGTTCCAGCAGCATGGTCTTCATCAGCGCCAGGTTCTCAGCGCTGAGCTCGGCGGCGGCGGCGGCTGAGGTAAACTCGGGGTCAGCGCCCGCCTCCGGAGCCACCAGCTGAGTCAGCACGTGTGTCAGCTCGTCCACACATAACGCGATGTCGGTGGATCGCAGCTGAAGCGACGCAGACTCCTCGCACATCTTCTCAATGTTGTGCGCCTCGTCGAAAATCACCACGCTGTTTTGGAGTTCAACGCCGTTGGCTTTGCGTGTCTTGGGGTCGAGGAGGTAGTTGTAGGGCAGGAAGATCACATCTGCTGCCTCTCGCAGTGACCGCGCCATGTAGTACGGACAAAAGTTTAGCTTGTTTCCCAGCGTGACCAGGTCCTCGATGTCCGTGACAGGAGCCTCTGTCAGGTGTTTGTCAGTGCGGCGGGGCTCCACCTGCCAAAGAGGGAGGGGCAGTGAGAGGTCTGTGCGGGAGCATTCCACCCGAGAGAAAGATGGAAAAATTGCGGGGAACATAACTGACTGAGAGGAAAGACATTCATACACCAACTTTTTAGAAAGAAAAATGAATGAATGAGAGTCCTTATCATCTGTAAGTTTTTACCACCATATCAGACTAGCTGTTCCCAGTCCCAGCCAGAATACGGCTTTCTCATAAAACTCACCTGATTATAGTAGTGGCAGGTGCGCGACTTGACCTTTGCCTGGCACATGTGCACCTTGACACTGTTGTTGGTCTCCTTGCTGACCTCGGGGTGGATGCACAACTGGAACGTAACACATCGACATGATTATAAGACGATTCGCACATCGAATGAACTTCACCGACTGTGCAGCTCATACGACGACGATAAGGCAAAAAATAATTAAATCCACAGACGGCGATTTGATATTTCTGTTGGTTTAGCTGATCTCTAGTCCACTAAAACTACGAAGGTGCCGAGCCCAGCAATCTCTAGACTCACCGTTATCCTTCAATCGTTAAAGCCCTTGTATTTCTGATCTATATAGTCCCCAGTCGTTTCCAGGTCGCTGCATACCTCACCTGGTCCCGGGAGCCAATCACCACTGCCCGTACGTATCGGTACGAGGTCCGTTTCAGTTCCTGCACCACCTGGGACAGCTGAGAGTGTGTCCGAGACGCGAAGATGATCTTAGGCGCACCTGGGCAGAACACCAGGACACGGTGAGTCAAACAACTGGGAAGACGGAGGTTTGAAACACGATCTTACACGGTCTAAGGTAGACATGGCGAGAAAAAGATATGCGAATTGCGAGATATCACTTTCAACACTTCCGTCCAAACTAGTTAGTACAATGGTAAGATAAACGCTGCACTTGCAGATGGTACCAAATTTACCACCTTCCCTATTTGTCCCGCCCCACACAATAACGGGAGTTCATGACGCATAAGGACACAAAATCGACGAGCAGACGATCTAGGTACTTGATTCGTGATGTTTATCATTAGATTTGGAAATGACAGAGAGCGCATGGATCCCACGTGTGATGGAGAGTGCTACCAGAGGCAGACCCATGAACTGGGGTGTAGAGATGAGTTCCTAGAGCACTCTTTTGAGGGCGCTCCCTCATCAGATGAAGGGTGTCTCTGTACCCACCTATGATGGAGGGCGTGGCCGAGTTTCCCCAGCCTGATCCCGCCGCCTGGTCGAGCTGAGCGCTGAGGGCCGAGTAGAACTCCGGGTTCAGTTCTGCCATGCCGCGGACGGTGGCCGCCTGCTGGGCTCGGACCGACTCGGCCCAGGCCAGCGTCGAGCAGAGCAGACAGAGCGTTTTACCGGTTCCCGTCGGCGACTCCAGCACTCCGTTCGCGCCCTGGAATGACAGAACGGAGTACTGGTCAGATCAGTAGCAAGCGGGACTGACAATTAGCTTGAGATTCGTGATAACCGCATTGTCCGGCCATGTTGTCGCCTCCTCGTTCTCTGATGGCCAGGCTGTGCCACCCGTGTCTCCATGAGTCGTTCACTGCCGCGGACCGCCAGGGCCGGCACATATTGCCGGGCGCCGAATTCGCCGAGACATTTTAATAAAAACAGACTTCGGAGCCGTAATACAACAGAGCTGGAGCTCGTTTAAAGTGTATATGGTTCGGCAATTCACTGCTGGATGCTGGGCATTCAAGCAATATTCAATTTCACAAAACATTCAACCATCAGTTCGGCCTTTTGGACAGCCTGTGCGGGTGCTGAAACGTTGGACAGCTGATTTGGAGGGAGCATTTGGTTTGCTAAATCACTCTGGCACAGCCAAGTTAATTATAATCCACCACTGCATTCCTACCTTCTGACCAGACCAGAGTGGAGCAGCTGGGCCAGGGAGGAAGGCTGGCACTGTCTGTCTGACACCACTGTATTACATGTTGACTACAGGTGTGAGGTGACTGATGTGCCAGTCTGTCCATTGGCTGGCCCTGTCAGACCACAGGAGAAGACCTCAGACCACACCAAGAAGAGATGAAGAGCCAGCTGGTAACTACAAGCTCAGCAAGATAATATCCCCAGCCAAGTGATCGGTGCAATATCATCTCCATATTACATCCCACTTCTGATTTGAGCACAGGCTGTTGTAAAAAAAGTCTTGCTCTTGTGGTCATCATCAAGAACCTTAGAAGCTGTCAGACACTTACTATACCAAGGCCCAAGGGAGGGGTGAATATAGCTCTAATCCTAAAACAGAGGAGCATGCAGCATTGATTTTAATATCATAGAAGAACAGCAAGTGACCACAGACCAAGCTCATGTATGAGATATTGCAAAATGATGAAAAATAAGCAAAACATTCCTGTCTTCAAGCAAATGCATCATACACAAATATATCAAAGTACTACATCATGGAAGTAGCCCTGTTTTATATACTTGTATGTCACCTTTAAATGGCTGTTATTTACCATAGGTACATGCTATTTAAATCACTAAATAATTACAAACAAGATAATCATTTTATCTTACCTGTTGCAAGCATGTTATCACTTTCTCCATGTAGACCTTCTGAATTTCATATGGTTCAAATGGAAACCTCACTGGCACTCCATTTATGCTTATTTCTGTGTCTGTCATCTTTCAATTACTCTTGATGCCTGCAAAAGTATTCATTGTTAGTTCAGTTCTAACATTTAATGACACATTTGAGACTATAAACAGTCTTGCTTTGTCTATAATATCAATTCTATTTTGATTTGGTGTCACATCAGCATGACAACTTCTTGCTTAAGATCAAGATCATTGCAAGTTGCAGCTGCCAAAGCTAGGAATGGAAAGGAAAATATAAATATTAAAATGAAAAGATGAGAATTAAAGGGACAGTATCACCATTTTGATGAAATTTGACATTGCATAGGCCCCACCTTTCTGGTCCGGGAACTGAAGACCGATCCTCGAAGCTCCACACCGTTATCCCGCTATCGCCGCTCAAAGTACGAAAGGTGTACCACACTTTGAATCGTGCTTCACTATCTTCACTGTTTAAATGTTTGCGCCGCTTTGAATTGACCGCCAGTAATAAAACTTTTACCCTGGTCATTTCATCAAATTTTATAAAGCCAAAACGTTTTTCGCACTTATTCATCACCGTTAAATTCATTAAATAGTCGTAGGCAATTTCCGCTGTTTCCTTCGGATTCTAGCGGCTCAACAAAGGAATTCCTCCAGCTTGAATCACAATCTCCCTCCAATGTATGACGTTTATCACGTGATTGTCACGTGATATTTTCTCCCATTGTCAATTGTCACGTCCAATTGTCACTCCCTCCAATTGTCACGTGATATTTTTATAGGCAATACCTAAGGCTACCTCTCCCTAAGGACAACTCAATCAGAAGAACGACCGCGTAAGCGTAGCGTCAATAATGTATTATCTGCGCCAGTTCTGTAGTAATTTTGCATGCTTCCAAACTGGCGGCCATGCTTGTATAGTGGTGGTTCGCTCATGAAAATGAATCATGAAAATGAAATGTGGTTGCAATATTTTTCACCGAGTTCGGTCCTCAAACTATGTTTTTCTGATTCAGAAAAATAAGAAATGCTAGTAAATAAAAAATCAGCTCAATACATTGATTTTTTTTTTTCGATGATACTGTCCCTTTAAGACTTGTCACCTGCATCACCTGAATCTAATAATAATGCAAAACAACATACACGAGTGGATAAAATCCAATAAAAGCCTCAGCCAGTGATTGGGATCAGGATGGGATCACTGGCAGATCCAGAAAGGCAGTCTCAGTCTTGGATGCTGCAGGGGTAAACTCCCAGAAAAGTTTCACCAAATTCCAGAAACTAAAAATTCCAAATGTTGGATTTTGCTTGCTCACACTGCTGTGTAATGCAAAATTTTCCTAATGAAATTTGTTTTGTCTAGTTTTATTAGAAAAAGTGCAAATTTTTGTTGATTTTGACGCAGCAGGGGGGCATTTGCCCCGAAGCCCTCCTCCCTCCTCATCCTGGGCCCTGTTTCACCGGTGATAGCAGCACGCTGCTATCACACGTGTCAAATTGGGTTTCCATGGAAACATCAACAAGCCATGATGCCGTCAATTTGTGTGATGTCATCAAATATTGCTGCCAACATCTTCACGGCCATGCGATCAAGCAAATGTATCAAACGCAATCTAACGAGACAGCAACTCTGTTCCAAACGCAGCTCACACGTCATTACACTTGAGGTCACACGTCCGTCATTAGTGTGACCTCATCACATCACGTCAGCTCGCGCAATTTGATAGTAGTGTGCTGCTATCACCGGTGAAACAGGGCCCTGGATCCACCAGTGGATCAGGATGGAATCACATTATGATCACATCCACAGTGTATATAAATACACTATGAATACACAATACACATACACAATACCATACACAATACAAGTCAAATGGAAGGATTTGATCACATCACAATCAGTGATTAAATCCTATCAGTTATCCATCATTGAATGACACTGCATTCACACATCCACATCCCAGTATCTTTTTGGAGTCTATAAGAAAATCAGCATTTTATCCTGATCCCTGCCCATACTCCTCAAATCCATCCCTAATCCCTATCCTATCGAACACTTACAAAAAAATATAGGGCCTTTCGAAAAATGACCCAAAATTGGTCATAAACATGTAACCACTTTTGCATGTGTTATTTCTATTTTGATTTGGCGCTATTTATGACAGATCCAAGACTTAACACCTCGAGGGAGAATAAAACGGACGACGGTGAAAACAGGGCGCCTGGGGCGATTTGATCAAGGTTCGTGAAATTCACACATGACGTTTCGTATGTAGAAGGCCATTGGAGGGGGGAGAAGTTCCAAATGTCACGTGACTAATATGCCCTCCGGCGCCCTGTTTTCACAGGCGTCCAATAAAACCCCGCTGACAACTTCATTTTTATGTTTCGTTTCCTAAGATATGACATACTATGTCCCAAAAAAGAATGTTTGTTTCTAAAAAAAAAATATTTGAACAATCAGTTTCCAAAAGCTAAACAGATTTTGCTCATTTCCTCGGAAACAAATAAAAGTATTGTAATGTAGCTCACTTTTTTGCAGAACTCACGGGAAACAGCTGTACAAAATTTTAGGCAAAGCACCAGAAACTTGCGACGTAAGGGGTATGCCTTTTTCTGAGGCAAATGCGTAGGAGTCTGTTCCAAGGTCTGTTCAATGAGAGTAATGTTTCATTGTGATGATTTTTATTTTGCCAATTTTTTTCTGTGGAACCGGTGGAACCAAATCATTTCTTTGTTATTCGGAAACAAAATTAAATTAAGCAATGATTTGGTTTCATTTTCAACAATTGAATTGCATGCATCTAGTTTTTATATTTGATATTCTGACCGTTCGCAGTTGCTGACAAAAAAAAATGAATACTACGGTTTGTCTTGGTTTTTGTAAATCCGTAACCTGTCATGCTTTTTTTTTGTCCTTTTTTGGGTACTGTGTTGTTTGTTGTGGCGTTTGACTGGTACGTGTTTTTTGTATTTAATGTATTTTGTTACCTATTTATCCGATATTTATTATATGGATCGATTGCTCTGGCTCAGGTTTTCTGTTTTGCACTTATATTTTATATTGATATAGGTATAGGTACCTACCTACTCAGAATGGAGGTTGGTGCTTAGCCAGTCCATTATATTGAGTTATTATATTTAGTCAGTTGATTATATTGAGTCTGCAAAGTATGTCAAATTCGACGAGATCTCATCAGTGCAGGCTTGTTTGGCTGGTGTGGATTTGGTGAGGTGCGGTGCAGATATGGCTTGGTGCGGTGCAGATTTATTGAAGTGAGGTTTGGAATTGACTGAGTGACAGACATGACGGACCAGACGAGATAGATGAGGGGGAAAATGTTGGAGTTTCGACATCACCTAATTCAATGTGCTCCCGGATCTAAATAAGTGTGTGGTGGTCAGAACGGACTGCCAGTGCTGATTGCTGGTGGTCCCATCAATCAGGTGGGATGTCCGTAAGTTCACACTTTTTGCACTCTTGCAACTCAAAACGCACCACCTGGCTTTGCAAGGCACCCGCGGTAGTGTGAGAGAAATGAGCACGACCCGATGAGAGGGCCAGAAAATCACCCCTCCGCCGCTTCAAGCAGTCAAATGCAGACAATTTACTGGTACGTTCAACGTATCTGAGTTTGCTGCACTTTGCACTCGGCAGCATTCGTAAACGAGGTGCGCTTGGCTCATGTAGCGGGTTCGTGTGGATTTTTTTGTACTCTCATACTACTCTTTGGTGCGGATTTTCCAGCTCTGTTGAAGGATTGGTGCGGATTTTAAACTTGGGCTGGTGCGCCTCGTTGACCTGCAAGCCTTACTTTGCAGACTGGGTGATTAGGTAAGCGGAAGCCTGCCTTGTTAACTGCACAAAAATTTGTGAAGCTCAGTTGGGCAACAGCTGGCTGATGAGTGATGATTGCATGTTTTTTATTTGCTGCTTTAAAAAAAATATTTTGGTGTCAAAACATTGTAAATATCCAAGAGGGTAAATAATTTTATTGTCCCTTGCTATGGTCGTGATACATTAACATGCATGTACTGTGTCCTAAACAGTTTGTTTCAGGGTGTAGTTTTATGGCTAACAAATTGTACTGATTTAATGTTAATTCGGTACCTTGGGGAAAGATGCCCCCTGCCCTGATGGAGAAAGACGCCCCCTAAATCTGTAGGCTGTCCTCCAAGCAACCTGTCAAATCATTTATTACATACTTGTGATGAGAGACAAAAGCCGATCTTGGACTATTGAGAGTCCAGTACGTTTGGGTGCTTCCCATGCCGGTCTCTCGGCCCAAACAGCGACTTTTTAGGCGGCATCTGACTCTGAAGCCCTCACGACATCGTTTGAGGACTCCCACGCTGGCTGGACTATGATAGCCCTAACGATGACCTCTGAAGCCCCTTACGACTACTTTTGAGGGCCCTTACGATGACGTTTAGTGTCTACTGCAGGCTCGAAGGGACTACTGATTCGTTCTGGCGATTCACGTGCACGTTTATGTCACTTATAGTGCAGGGGGCATCTTCCCCAACGCCAGGGACGCCTTTCCCACCCTGTGGGGTAAGATGCCCCTTTTCACTTTCTCAGGAAATGCTTAGCCTTAATAGCAAAAAAGTTATCATTTCAGACAAAGAAAGTGTGATATTTTTGGAGAAAAATGATGTCGGTTTCCGTTGAAACTCCAAGTTTTTGCTTCCCGATCGTCATTTTCGAATAATATATGACATTGCAAACCCCTGTGCATCTTACCTCACTCTCCCCTACCCATAAATGAATTTCATGCTGATATCAATATATTCGTTGTTTATGAATTATGTTAACTGCTTGAAAAGAGTCCCTGATATCGACACCTTTTTTTTAAACCCCACATCTGCTCTCTAGTGAATTTCCGGGAGGCCCGAAAGATCTCCTTTTAAAAGTGTCCAATCGTCCGATCCTGATCAAATATGTGTGTTCGTAGGCCTGTTCTGGTATTGCTTTATCTGCCAAGACAGACAAACTTGAGAAAAATCGAGTGATTGTACCTTTTTTTGAAGGTCTCTAACCAACTTGTCTGAAATTCACCGGAGAATGTGGGGTTTAAAAAAAGGTGTCGATATCATGTGTGTTGACCAGTTCCTCACCCTCTCTATCAGCAGAAGATGGCATCACCGGGTGGTACCGCAGCTCGCGCAAACTCAGACAGCTTTAAAGTTGTGCTCCTTGGCGAGGGAGCAGTAGGCAAGACATCAGTGGTTCTCTCTTATGTGGAGGGAAAGTTCAATGAAAAGCACACTACCACTCTACAGGTATGGTGCTCTGCTGGCATTCATTTATGCTGAAGTGCCTGTAATTTCTATGCACTTCACCTCATTCACATCTCTAATGCTTCACACTTTTACTATTGTCATTTTTTAAAGGGTTTTCCTCATTTGTGTCGTTGACCAGATTTGATATTTCAGCATTGGTTCAAGTGTGTCATTTCATGACCAGAGTTGTGAGGCACCAGTTTTGCACCTGTTGTGACTTTCTGCTCCCTTCCAGGCGTCATTTCTCACCAAGAAGCTGTCGCTGGGAGGACGGCGTGTCACACTGGCCATCTGGGACACGGCCGGCCAGGAGCGGTTTCACGCGCTCGGCCCCATCTACTACCGCGAGTCGCACGGCGCCTGTCTCATCTACGACGTCACTGATGAGGACTCGTTCCAGAAGGTGGGTCAATAGGCACTCCTCCCCAGGCAGGCTCTATGCTACTCTTTCTCTTGGGCCGGCTCTGTGACACCGACCCCTGGGCAGGGTCCGGTGTTAGCCGGTACGGGTACAGACAGTGGATGGGTTGGCTCCCGAGGGTAGAAGTTCCTCGGACGGTCAATTTCTGTCACTGCCGCACCAGCTAGATGGGCGGTCAGTAGTTTGTTGTTTTGGCATTGTTTGTGACCAGCTGTGAAAGTAGTATTTTGTTTGGTACACGCGAAGCGGGATTTCTTGCAGCTGTGTCGATGTACACGGAAACCGACACGGAAAATGAAGAATGACGCATAGACAACGGCTAAAAGTGCGAATATTTTTATTGTCACCAGCTAAACAATGTCCCTGGCCGGATGTTGACAACTCCTATAAATTGACGATGCAAAGTGCAGCATTTGATCAGTTATTTCTTATAATGGATTCTCTTCTTAAATCTTATCTCTTCTTATAATGGATAGCTACAATAAGTGAAGTGCATAGTTTGTATCCTCTGAGACAATTTCATCAGGAATCGGAAGAGCATGATAAATTTTCAGTCGGCTGAATGTTTTGCTGCTATTCATTCTCCGGCCTTACATTCCGTCACTGTCATCAAAACCACGGTGTTCTGTTTCTTGTCTCCGAACATTCAGGAAGCCATGGGGCCGGTGTCTATCTACCATTCATTCTGGATGTAATCGGATACACGACATGATGGCATGTGACCGAAACTCGATCGTATTTATAGCTGCACTACCGCTCGTATTTCGGCGCGTTTTCCAGTGCTGGGTCCTGGTCAGCTAGGGGTGCGTTCCGTCACGGAATTTACATAAGCGGGTGTAGTAGTCTTTGGACAGATCTGTTGCGGCGGAAAGTGGGCTCAGTAGGTACCGTTTGCGGGTTTTACGGAGGTAGGGAGGGGTTTGGACGGATCTGGGGCGGCGGAGCTGTGAGTTTTGCGGCTGGTTGTGGGCCTGGTTCAGGATGCAGGTTTTATGGGTGGGGTCTGTGGTGGTAGGAACAGGGTCTGGGACGATGGAAGGTGGGTCTAGGACCGCGGATTCGCATGGTCTGGCATTCATGGGTCTGTGATGGGTTATGAGTCCGGCACGAATCTGCGTTTGTTGGAGTGTGACACGGTCTGAGACCTGTGTGAGCCCGTATGTGTGTTTGGAACTGGGTCTGTGATCTGTAGCGGCGGCGTGCGTCCCGATCCCCGGCGGTGGCCCTTTGATGTCAGACCGCTGACATCGGAGCCGCCGCGGATTAGCGGCGATCATCTGACTTGTGAGGTCAGCGTGTGGAGGGTGTGGGCAATGGATGCCAGACATGTGTGGACACTCAGCTGTATGTGGAAGGTGTGCGCGGTCAGCTGTGTGGAATGTGGATACTGGACAGTCAGCCGTGCGGCTTGTGTGCCTGCCTGTCGATCGTTGTGTATTCGTTGCTCTAGTTTACTGAGCCCTCGGCTGCGTGGGAGGTCCTCGGCAATGACAGAGTACAGGCGTATATAGGACGAGACCGTCCCCGCTGTATGAAAACAGCCGTCAAGACCGCCGAATAGGAGCAACTCAGCCAGGCGATACGGTGTGTTTGGATAAATGATAACAATAACAAGTCAAATGTATATTTAGACACACAAAGCTTTCGGTACGAAAATGCCTTGATCACTGTGTTACAGAAATGATGACAGAAATGATCACCGGCAGCTTGTACACAAATATAAAATAGCACTCGAAAAATATATCACAGTCACGAGATTAGCTATCGGGGTCCTGCCACTAAGTTCACAGCGCATGTTGCTAAAGTTATAAATCCAGTTCTATAATCTAGTTTATAGTATTGATGGTATCACGTGCAGAGGCCTCTTGCACCAAAATCCTCTTGCACCAATGCTTGGATTATTTTGCATCGTATACCCAATCCAAGACTCAAATGTGACAATTTGCGTGTAAAATTTACCAAGCACCTGTAGGATTATGTATTGGGCTTTTGCAAACAAATTTACCACCGTTTGATTAGCTTATTCTGAAACCGGTTTTTCGATTTTACCTAGCTAGGTAGTTTGGTGCAAGAGGCCACAGATATGTGAGCCGCTTCTAAGATTTTTCGTGTCGTTTTTCGTGCGCCTTTCTCTAATAATCGAGTTGCTCCCCAGTTCGGTAAATGATGAGATTGCTCGGCATGTAAGACGATTGCGTTCGATGTTCGATGAAACTTTTCTGAGTGATCAAGGTATTTTCGTACCGAAAGCTTTGTGTGTCTAAATATACATTTGACTTGTTATTGTTATCATTTCTAACTGTCGTGGATAATTTACATATGGTGTGTTTGTTGTGTCCGAACTATAAGTTCATGCTATTCGGGGGGGGGGGGGACGCCGGAAGCTGGTATTGTCAAACCTTCTTCCTCAGACTCGCCCTGGGTTGTTTTCGTTTCTTTTTTTGGTCGTTAGTTGTTTGCGTCAGAATCATGAACGTGATTATTCATAGAATTAATGGTGGATGGTGACTGGTGTACCCAGGTTCAAGCAAAATCTGTCTGATCAAAGTAGTTCACTTCTCACGTGCTTCTTTTCAAGTAATTTTGATAACATGTTTTTCTCGACGTGACTGTCTAGTGTTTGATCTCCTTTTTTACCATGGATTCGACGCATCTTATCGATGAAGTGTTTGCATCAGAGCCATCCCAGCTACCGAGCCGGGAAAGCAGTTTGTATGTTTCTTTTCTTCGATCGTGCCTGCTGTCCAAGTCTGGTGGCGCCGTGTTAAAGGGACCCTCCCACCTTCAAAAAAGTTTATGAATTGGCATGAAAGTGATGTCGCTCGGTTCAGAAAGAGCGAAAACGAATATCTACCAAACACCGAAAAATATTCACCAGTTTTCAAGATATTAGACTTTTACTTTTGTTTACTTTTTTGGGATCTCCGCTGTTTCTAGCGACTTTATCTTAGAAGTGCGGCGTTTGCGGCAGATGTTGCGCGCAAATAGCATATACCACCGCGTGCTACAAAACGTTTTAGTCAAACATTTAAAAATCGTTAGATATCTGCGCTGACGTCACACATTCAGAGGGGTATTCCTTAGCATTAGCCCCTCTGAATCAAAATGCTGCAATTTTGAAATTCAATATTTCCGATTTAAGGCATTTCTCGATGTTGTGAGTGCCGAAACCGGTAATTGTGAGCCAGGGACCCCATTTTGGCTATCTCAACTCAAATCTAATGTTAAGGTGGGAGGGTCCCTTTAATGACCTCTGTGGAATGGTTGCATTGAATAATCCTCCGAGCCATGTTTCTGGCCTGTTCGGGTGTATTGAGGGTGGATACAACGGCTGACCACTGCCGACCGGCCGTCTTACATAACCCGCCGACCTTGAGTTCACGGCAGTCTCGCATAGCGGGTGCAGCACTGAATGTCAACGATGGCTGGTCGGCGCTTCCTCGGTCACGTGCAGTCACTATACCTGCGGATCGAGAGGCTGTCTCGGTCGCGTGGAATACGAGCTGCTGACCGGTCCGGCTTCCTTGGTTCCGTATAACGCTACTTGCAGACCGACCAGTGCTACCTTGTTGCCATGATGTATCACTCACTACCTGCTGCTCGCCCGGTGATAGCATGTGCTGATCGTACGGCTTTTTTCGGTTCAATGGTGATGATGACTTACGATTTGACCCGCTGTTCAGCTGGCGAATCGTGAAATCTGCCGATTTATTTAAATTTCCTAACAACACACAGGTTACCCATGGGCCGCTACGATGTTTATTTTATAGGTATGTCTATTTCGGTACTTACCGATCTAATTTGTTATCTGAAGTGTCGTCTTTTAACGTGATCAAAGCGCTTGTGTTTACCTTGTCACTGATAACCTGACCAGAGTCCTATTCGGGGCGGCATCTGCCGGGCCGTGTGTGGTCGATGGGGCATTTTGGGCTTTTAGGCTTGTTGATCCGGATTTCTGGCGCTGGGCGGGGTGCGCTCGGGTCCGGTCATGGGTGTGTTAGGAGCTCTTCTAAGCTGGCTGTGGTTGGTTGAAATTTATGATCAAGGCTGGTAGGGACGGCCACTCCACTACTACCCAGTAATCAGTACGAGTATGTTCAAATCTAATGATGTGTAGATTTGTCCGTCGCCTTCACCATGCACGTCATCTGTCCGTTGCCTGGATTCTATGAAGATCTCATTCTATAATGTCGCGTTGCGATGACCTACGTTTTGTGCTACGTTTTGTGCTACGTCCCATGATACGTTCTGCGACGTTTCGCTGACGTATCGTTCCCTGCTTGCCGCCAGGTGAAGAACTGGGTGAGGGAGCTCCGGAAGATGCTCGGCTCCGAGATCTGCCTGGTCATCTGCGGCAACAAGATCGACCTGGCCAAGGACCGGGTGGTCGAACTCAGCACAGCGCTGGCGTGAGTGACGGGACAGTACCGCGCTCGGGAAGAGGGGTGGTAGTATGATAGGGTGTATGTTATCAGGGAAAAATAAAATATTTCGTGTTAATAATAATGTCCTAAACAAATAATTATAACGTGGCGGATGCTGGATAACTGTCAAGTTCGGTGAACAGGATCCACCGGCTTCCATTTTAACGCTTTAATTAATTATGGTTTCCTATCACCAATTGAACTGATAGCGGCTTTTCTCAACAGTCAACAGGCATGTTTTTTTTTTTTTGCACCCATGCTACCGCTCAGAGCGCTAGCTGGTTGATATCGCCGGTCTTTGTACCTTGACGCCGAGAGTCGTGTCGTCACTCCATTGCTGCCCAGACGGACTGATAAGGGGTACTTGCTTCCGCTCTATTGTTCTGTCTCTCAACTGATAAACCCTTCAATGTCACGCTCCCAGTTGCGCCAGTAGGTAGTCGCCGTGTCGTTCAGCGCCTGACGGTACATGACTAGGTCGCTGGCAGTCCTCCATCCACCCCCACCTACTACAGTCCCCTTCTGTCTGCCACGGAGAAGCCAGAGACAGTCCTCCTGTCCGTCGCTAACAATTCTCCCCCGTCCGTCGCCAGGTACGCCGACTCTGTGGGCGCCAGGCACTTCGAGACCTCAGCCAAGACGGGCGAGGGTATCGAGGAAGTGTTCCTGTTCCTCAGCCAGCAGATGCTGCGCGTGCGGGACTCGCGAGACGCGCCGGCCACCGGCTCGCTGCGGCGCAGACAGAACGTCGTCGTCGTCGAAGAGCCGGAGCCAGAGCCGGCCAAGCGCTCCTGCTGCGGCTAGGTGGCGCCGGCGGCGGCGGCCGGCCCGTCTCGGGCAGCGCCGCCGACGCAGCTCCGTTCGTGTATGTATTTAAGCCCAGAAGTATTTTGTAATCGTGTTTATTGGCGAGCCATTCCGGTGAGTTGTTTCAGCGGTGTCGGGGGGTGCGGGACCGGCCGGCCCTCTGTGGGTAGGGGAGGGGGCGGGTCCGTGTTTTACTGAGCGCCCCTCCGCCGACGCCATGGTGTCACACCTCTCTCCGTGCCACCCTAGTCAGAGGCCACCGTGTGTTCTGTGCTTTATTCAGATCGCATCATTCATTTCAATATTAATATTTTAATAACTAAATAAAAGGCGAGCAGCAGTTGCCGAGACTCTGTGTTATCCGGCGACAGGCGGGCAGACAGGCGGACACGCGTGTGACCTGGCGCGGGCGGGCGTGTGACACTCGGCGCGCCCACGCGCATTGCACGGGCCGGGCACCCACCAGACACGAAGGTAGCCTACATACGGAAAAACAGCCACTCGCTCGCTTCACGCGCATTGTACAAGGTATAAATAACTTTACAGAGGCACATTATATCGGCGCCGCCGGCGGCCGCACGCACGCGCGCGCGCACGGCAGGGCTAGCGGACGGGACGGGCGGGGAGCGGGGGGACGGGGGCGGGGGCGACTGTCTGCAGCGGGTTACGGCCGGGCGGCGCGCTCCGCGGGCGCGTGCGGCGGCGCGCCGGCGCGCAAGGCACTGACGGCGGCGGCGATGACTAGACGAGGCGGCGGCCGGCGGCCGGGCGGGTCACTTGGACAGCTTGGATATCACCCGTATGAGCGCGCCGTTCTCGTCCCGCAGCTTCTTGTTTTGCGCCTTCAGCTCCTCCATTTCCTGCGGCGGCGGCGGGGGGGGGGGTGTCAGCCTGGGGCACACACAGGAGGCCCACACACTCACACACAGGCGAGCTACCCCGGCGGCCGGCACCTGCCAGCTCTGTTTATCCCTGTTGACCGCTCTGCCGATTGATGGCACAGAAATACCCGACCCGAGCTGGCACCCGGAGAACGGGCAGAGCCGATGAATGGCCCGCGTGCCAGCAGCTGCGAGTGCCGAGACAGGACGGGACATGTGATTGTGTTTGTGATTGTGTGATTGTGTTCTGACATACACTCTCGCGACAGTGAGCGCGAGAGTGTATGTCAGGGTAGAAGGGGTGCGAAAAAGATGGCACTCGGCATTACTCGGGCATGGATCCTGCCCCGCACATGTATCATGTGGTGTAACTAGGTCGTGAAGAAGGTCGGTTGTTTTGATTTGTTCTGACAATCTGTGTTTATGGTGTTAGTGGTGGTACTGTAATATTGTAATGAGTAATTCTGTCCAATCGCTTTCACTGTTGTAAAATATAATTGTACGCAAATACACCACTATTTTGACTAATGCCGCTGGTCTACTGAGCTGGATGTTGTGATAGGATGATCGGATGTGGGAGAAGTGATGGCCCCATCCCGTGAACATTGTTGGCTCCGCCACGGTCAGCAGAAGTGGAATCTTGCTGTCGGCCCGGATCAGGAAACAAGAGAGCAATACAGGGAGAGGCTGGGTGCTGGACACAGGTCAGCGGCAGCCCTGGTTAACTAGACACGGCTGTCTGCTTGGCCCGGCAGTTAGGGCTGACAGCTTGGACTGCAGTCCCGGCTGGCAGCTCCGCTGGACAGACAGACATTCCGCACTGACAGTCGGACCGTATCAGTCGCTGTGGAGTCGGGTCGACCGTCCGGTGACGCACGGGGACCTTCACCCTGCGGCCGCCGGCGGGGCGCCGACAGGTGGCCTGGTCAGTGGCGCGGCCAGCTCACCGGCCGATGACGCCATCGGAGACCGGCAGCCGCCAACGACAACACAGCCGGGGAGGTGGGGAGGGGCCAGGGTCACCACGGGGGCAGCGGGAGGCGGCAGTTCACCGTGAGTGTTGGTGCGGCCAATCACATTGCTCACATCATCCCGTGCGTGACCCGACACCTCGTGGTGAACCAAATAGATCAACAACCCCACGCGAGACACTGAGACAACAGCCTGCAAGCACGACTCTCCCTGCCATATCGCACCTAACTCCACGTCGGCACCACACAGGCAGTCATTCCAGGCGAAGTTTACGAGACACACTATTTATACACCAAAACTCCGGGCAGGTTGTTTAGGAGTGCGGGCCGTCAAAACTGGCGGCGCCGCTCGGGGAACTGACGGGGGCGGACGTTTGACCTCCGGACGCCGTGCTGGAGCCGTGCTGACACTGTCCGTTGTGCCGCACATACACACGGGGACGGTGTTAGTACAAACACACGCACACACGCACGCAGGGACGGACGAGTTTAGACACAGTTGCGAGCTGCCAGAGCGGGGAGGGACGCATGAACCCGGTTCAGACCGGCGGACAGCCAGCGAGCGTCTCACAGAGGTGCCGACACTCCTTCCTAGGACAGCGTAAATCATCAGGAAGAGACATATTCGCCAGGCCGACGCACAGACACCTCTGACAGGCTAGTCTTCGGGCTGGAGCAGCGTCTTCAACAGAGGACGGCGTCTGGCGACCGTCAGGCCTCGCTGATAATTCGCCCTTTGTCGTTGTCCTCTGGCTCTGGGACCAGATGGGGCACCCAGGGGCACAGGAAGGGCGTCCGGGCGCCCCCGCTGGTACCGTGACGACTCGGCTGGCTACCGCGAGTCCATCCCTAGCGGAGGCGGTTGGTCTTGGCGCGGGGACGCTCTGCAAACGTCCCTCATCACCGGCCGTCCCGCCAGCATATCGTCGCCGTGAGAAAACACTCATAAAACGGAGAGTGCGCCCTAGACTGACGCGTCAGGGTCAACCGGCCGTCAAGGCCAAGGGCTCGCGGCACTACCAAAGTGGCAATCGGCGGCCAAGAAAACACCACTAAAACATCGGATGTTGATCATCAAAATGTTATTTTGACGTGCAGCGTCGATGGATCTCTTGGCGAGCCGTATCGCTCGCCGGTATCTTGGACTACATGATTGCCGTCAGCGTAATTGTCGATCACGTGAGTAGTAGACAGAAGACAGCGGGCAATCGCACGGCTACAAACAATCGACGTGCCAGCCGTCATGTCCGCAGGCCTATCACCGGAGTGAGCGGAGGTTTTGGCTCGGAGACTGGCCGGTCAACGTGAGAATACCAGTCTGGGATGGGGAAGAAGCTCAAAGGAGTGGTAGGGACGGCCGCTAAAATGACTCCAGTGACAAGTCAGCAGTCGCCGTATCATTCAGCGGGACAGACCAGAAATCAGACCATTGATTTGATGCAAGCGTCACAATTCTTCGTCCACCAGCGGTTGTTGCGCCCGTCGCCCGGGCAGAGAAGACAACCCACTGATAAATATGACTTGAATGTCTGCCTCATCAGACGGCGCGAAACCATCAGACTGCGCTCCATAGAGGCTAATTTAAAACACCGCAGCTCTACCCTACTCTACCAGCTAAGGGATTGATCTACTAATTCAAAAACCGAGGGTAGGCTCTCTACTGGGAGAGGATCCGTCCCGAGGGCGGTTCGGACTGGCCGCACCCGGCCGCCCAAACAGCGTGCTATGCCGGCGACGCGGCGGGCGGGCGGGCCTGGGTTAGGTGCAGGCGGCGGGCGGCCACACAGCACAGCACACGGCGCGGCCAGCGCGACCGCTCTCACCGGCGCTCGCCAGCGCTCTGGAGGCTACTTGCGGGGCGCACCGCCGCCGGCCGCCGCCGCGTTAGTGAGCTTCGAGACGACGCGGGTCAGCGCGCGATTCTCGGCCTTCAATTTCTCGTTCTCGGCTTTCAGTTTTTGCAATTGCTGAAACATGGAGACAGTGTTGGCAGGGCCGGCGCGCCGGGCGACGGTGGGAGCCGTTAGCACGCGCTCACTCCCCGGGTCCGCCCGGCGGCGGCGGCGTCCCCGCACACACGCACACACGCACGTGGACACACGGGCTGAGAGCCGCGCTCGCTAGTTACCTTCAGTTCCTCCTCCATCTCGGAGAGTTTGCGCTCGAGGGCACGCTTCTCGCGCCGGTCCGACTCGGCGGCGGCGGCGCGGCCGCTACTCTGTGAGGCGGGCACGGCAGGCGGTCAGCGGTCAGGCGTTACGCGAGCTCGGTCAGCCGTACGGCGGTCCCAGCGGCCGACACGGCACGACAATCAGAGAGCGGCAGTGAGAAACGACAGCGCAGCCGAGCAGCAAACGGTCAGACAGCGACAGCCCCGAGAGACGGTCAGCGGCCAAACAGCCGGCAACAGACAAAAAACGCTGCACTGACTGATAGCAGAGACAGTGGGCGCAGAGCCGAGGCGCGGGCAGGGCGGCAGGCAGCTCTACTCACCTGCCTCGAACGCCTCCTGAGCTCCCTCCTTCCCTCCCCTGACTAACCCGTGACACCAGCCTCCTACCGCGTCTGTACTGGAACCGGACGGACGCGCCACTTACCACTTGTAGCGCCTTGTCGAGGTTGAGCTTGGCGTCCCGGCAGTCGGCCTGAGCCTCGGCCAACCGCTGCTGGAGCTTGTCGTTCTCGACCATCGCTGCCTCGTACAGCTGCCGGGGAGATAATGGCGGCGTCAGTATATTAGCGATATAAACAGGGCCTGTGCTGCTAACGGGACCGAGGTGGGCAATGGGTATCAGTGTAACTACAGAGAGAAGGAGGCGTCCGCACGGTGTCAAAATAGCTCATACAGCAGTGAGAAGATGACGGTGTTACTTCATCAAACAAAGTCGAAGCTTCAGGATAACATTTTCAAAGTGCAGCACCATTACTCAACATCCCATAACCGCTCATCGGCGGCCAGAGACATCGCTGACCGGGCGTCTGCCAATATCTCATCACGTCGGCCGTCACAGCGGTTTGACTGATAGACGGCAATGTGACAGGGGCGCCGGCGGATGACCCCGTCCGTCACAGTCTGTATCTGTGAGGCGGCGAGCAGGGCGCGGCCGGCGCTCCGTCCGTCACCGGCGTCATCTCGCACGTCATCAGCCGCCGCCGCGCAGTGGCTATTAATAGCCGTCATCGGCGTCATCCGGGGACTGCCAGCGGCCGGACGGCAACCCGGCGACCCCAAAAGGACAGGATAACGGACGCTGAGAGGACGGGGACGCAGGTGTGCAATGAGCTGAGAGACTGTTTGTGACGGTGGATTTGAGAAACACTGACTAGTGACTGATCATTGTGATGTAGGCTCGCGGCACATTCGGTTAGGCTGAGGGAGATAACGAAAAGGTAATGATGAGCACGGTGAACTGAAGGACGCCGTGGAGACAGCAGAATCGTGCTAGCCTGTGCCGACGTTTGGCAAAGGTGTGGGCATTGGCAGCGACACGATGATCCACGGTTCAGCCGGCGGTTACTGACCTTTTTGTAGTCGACCTCTCCATTCTCAACGCTGTTGGCTCGGCTGGCCGTGCGGCTGCTGGCCTCACTGCTGGCGGCTGCGTTCGGCGGATTGTTCAGCGTCTAGGAACACAGATAAATAGAGGGTCAGAGGGGATAGTCAGTTATGTTTGACGATACACATAGATGGAGGCCGCATAGGATAGTCAACGTCTGGGCCCTGGGGTCACAAATCAACATTCAACACGGATATGCGAGAGGAAGCTGGCGCACGCCTCCTCTAATGGCCCCACTGCAGTTAGGCAGTACAGAGCGGCTCTTTATAATCCACGAGTCATCAGCACATCATGCATTAGTCAGTGGGACATCAGAAGGAACTACGCCGGCACCAGGCTGTCGTCGGTAGCCAGCAGTAGACAGGGTCGGCGCAGACCGCGACATCTCAGCGGCCCAGCCAACTCGCCGGGTCCGCCCGGTAGTACGGTGACCCAATCCACCTCATGACAAATCCCCGTAGACCAGACGGTAGACGTGACCCTGGGCGGTCCAACGATCACGCTTGGTCTCCCGAGTGCCAACAGCCGACAGGCAGCCGGCGGCCCAGACCGCAGCTCCGCCCATCCCAGGCAGACGGCACAGACAGAGTGGCGCCAGGCCCGCGCCATAAAGACGATCGACAAACATACGGAAAAGCCCGGCTGCGACAGCGAGCACAGCCACGGCCCGCGTCACAACCATCGACAATCGTGCGGACAGACACAGTGGCTCCGGGAAGCAGACAGGGCCGTGACGTAATGATTGAAAATATAGCTACCAACAAACGAATTACGAGGAGAGACGGTCTTTACATTTTGCAACCAGCAGTATTTACACCAATAGAGACCGAACGGTACTGCATTCGTTCGTAAATATGTGCACGGAACTCTATTTTCGGTACGCCGATGAATAAAATGCAACAATATCGATTAAATTAAACTCAGCTACCCGTATCTTCGCACCGTCCCTATTCCACAGATCTACACCGACCAGCGCGGCGGTCGGCGTCCGGTCCGTCGGCTGCGTACGGCCGCCGTGCGCGGACGGTCGGCGGTGCCAGCACACTGCCGGCCAGCGACTGGGTCAAGGTGAGGTGAGTCCGACAGCCGACGGACTGAGGGCCACGGACCGCTGACAGGGCTCCATCAGAGACAGTGAGGGCAGCCCACGGACTGAGGGCTGCGGACCGATGACAGGGCTCCATCAGAGACAGTGAGGGCAGCCCACGGACTGAGGGCCACGGACCGCTGACAGGGCTCCATCAGAGACAGTGAGGGCAGCCCACGGACTGAGGGCCACGGACCGCTGACAGGGCTCCATCCTCGGGACGGAGACAGACGACCGCTGTATCCTCCACGGACCGGCGACAGGCACAAGCGACCCGTCACGGAAAGAAGGCAACCGTCTCGCTTCACCCACGAATCATTCTGAAGGTGACATTACTGCCGCTCCGTGCTCCAGACCCGACGAGCCCAGCCTCCGTGCCGTTAGAAGACGGAACTACGCTGGCTCACATGGTCGGTAGTTAGTAAACACATCATCGGCTTGACATCCAAATAGCCTAAGGTTAACAATAATTATTTGAATACTATAGGATAGGATTAATGCATCCAAAACAGATAAACGCAAAAGTTAGACAACACAAAATTGTCCGGCGTAAGTTAGCTTAAAAATGTCAGATGTGCAGGTCTCACGGCTCCAAGGTATCGTCCGTATCGTCCATCCGTGACCCTCCCCCTTGCAGTCCAGTGTCCCAAAATTATATTTTGGCTTGGGTGTCTGAGGGGAATACTCGTCACTACAAAGAGGGCTGAAAGTGGACACTTCTCCGTCAGAATGGCACAGAAACGGAGCGGGAACAGGGATCAACAATTTATTGGTGAATTTCTGAGGATGTGTGAGCTAATTTATAAGATAGGCGAATCGAATATGGAGGGAGAAAAAAGGTACCCGCAGATGCTCTTTATTGGTAAAATAGTGAGCGAAAAATTGCACTGAAAATTGGAGGTGAGAGTGGAAAATTATTTTGATTTGGATGTCACTTCCCACCCAAACTGGCAAATTTTGGGACACTGTTGCAGTCATTTGTCCACCAGCCGCAGCATACAACGGCAGCCCGGCGACAGACAGTCTGTCCTCGCCAAAAGACCGTCTCCGCCGGCCGCTGAACCTGTCCCGGCCACCGGCCCCACCACAGCTCACCGGCCGTGACGGGAACTGGCAGAGACGTCCCCCGTCCCGTCAGCTGGCTACCGGCGTCAACCGGCTCGAGCGGGACCGAGTGCGTTCAACAGGGGGAGGGCCAGCCTTCTGATGACCCACAGGCTGCCTTCCAGCTAATGTCAAAAGCACGGACTATCCGCCCGGCAACTAACAGGAACCATGACTTCAATGAACCATTCCATCTGTTGTGTTGTTCACATCAGAGACACAAGGCGCAGTGGTCGCTGCCAAAATTAGTATCAAAGCGGAGCCAGAGGAGGGGCGCTTTCCGCGTGACCCGGTGAGTGTCACGCCCAAAATAGGTCCCTGCCCTCTCAGCGACTCGTGCTGGCGACGTTTCACCATCATTACGAGAATGTGCTGACTGGAGAAACGGTCAGCTAGACGTCCAATTTGGCGACCGCGGGCACGGTCAGAGGGCTGAGAGCGACGCACCGACCTTGACATCAGCGGGTGGCAAGCGTTCCACGCATAGCGGGGAACGTGACAGGTCGAGCCGGGCCAGAGCGACGAGCCATCGCCGCTGATGAAGGGCCGCGGTCGACTGACGGAAAAACACTGACACGAGGGATACGGTTCGGCCCGGACACCGAGCTCAGCATAATGGGCACACGCTGACACCAGCCTAACCATAAATGGAAGTGGTCGGTGACAAGGAAATCGGTGGGTGCTTATGCAAGAATCGCTCGTGGAAAGTGGTAACGGGATAGAAGCGCAGCTTACAGGTATGACGCGCGGGAACAACACCGAAAGAAACATGTGTGGTTGTGGCCGCCTCAAGGGAACAGTCTGACTGAGAGATGTGAGGTCCCCATAGAGACGGTCCGTGACCTTCCAATGATCACACAGGCGACCTGTGACGTTCTAGCTAATATTGAGACATTGAGACACCACACAAACGATTCGTACTGCCCGTTGGACGATATGGAGACCACCGTGAGACGAGCGTCCCCCATGGAGACCAGCCTCCCCGTGATACCCCGGCAGACAGACGAACTGTGTCGTCAGCCGGCAGTGGCCGGGCACGGGCCGTCGGCCAGCGCCGGGCCAGCTCGGACGCTCCCCGTCGACTATATAAGGCGGCGCCGGAGGAGCGGCGGCCATCACCGGCCGGTGTAATGACGTCAGTATCCGGTCAGGCACCGGGCGCCGGACAGGGGACCATACCGGCAGAGCAGGTACCGGCCAGATCGCGGACGGGAGACCGTATCGATAGAGGAGCTGGGACCAGCTATCTTACCGGGAGGGGGTGCACCGACACAGCCCGCACACTCTTCAGTCCGGTCGGTATAACTGGAACTCACCAGACCGCAGCTAGAGAATTTCTGGTGACACTTTCGCCTATCTACTTGATGAGTCGGCGTCTTGGGACCTCACCCTAGATAATTATAGGCGGAGCAGCGCACATCCAACCGTCGTCGACCACCGCATTGTCACACGTCACCCACTGACACCCAGTTGTCCCAGCTGTACCCGGGGGCGTCTCGGTCAGCCAAACCAAACACCGTGCGGTTAATTAACGCTACCGGGCTCATTATTAGCCCAGCCGTCGGAAGGGCGTGTCAGTTGCAGGTACCGGGCCCGGTCCGTCGGTGCCGGCGGCCGAGCCTGCTCCAGGGAGATGGTGTAACAATCAGCTGGTCGGGCCGCGCGGCTGCTGGCGGTGCACCTGTCGGGTGCTGACGGGATCACGTGCTAACTGCACACCGTCGGTGCTGCTGCACACGAAACTGCTGCAGAAGTTCCGTGTGCAATGAGCGGCCCACGGCGCACTACGAGTGGGCAGCGTCTCGAACAGTACCGATTGTGCAACACGGGGAGAGAGAACAACAAACAGCTGCCGGTAACGGAGGGCAAGACGGAGAGCCGGGCAACTTCTGGAATGGTACGCTGCTACTGGACTGCGGACCAGGAAACGTAACCCCTCCTACGACTTACACCGAAGGACTGACGCTACCCCACTCTCCCCTTCCCCCTCAGGCGCGGAGACTCACGCTGGTACTGCCGTATCCGGAGCTGTAGGAGCGACCCGACAGGCTGCTCTGGCTGCTGCTCAGACTGGGGGAGCGGCCGGCCCGTACCGCCGTGGCCACCGCCGCTGCCGCCGCCGCCGCTGCCGAGGCTGCAGCTGCGGTACCCGGGGAGCGAGGCGGCAGCGCCGGGCTCAGGTTCAGACCGGCCGTGGTCGGGCTGCTGCTGTGGACGCTGCGGGGCCGCGGCCGGGCCGTTGACCGGCCCAGGGAGCCCGAGTAGCTGAGCTTGGAGCGCGGCCGAGACAGGTGGCCCGATGACAGTGACGATGCCGCGGCGCTGCCACCCGATGAAGACGCAGAAGACGAGCCACTTGGTCGGCCAGTCGGCGGTGTGTAGCTTGTGCCCGCTGAGTAAGAGCCGCCCGACGGAGACAGACCGCCGTTGGAAGCAGAGTAGCTGCTCGATGAGGGGTAACTTCCACCAGAGGCCAGCGACAGCGCGGAGCTGGCGGTGCCATAGGAGCTGCTGGCTGGGCTGAAGCTGCTGGCTGAGTTGTAGGAGCTACTGGCCGGGCTGAATGAGCTGCCAGTAGTGAATGAGCTGGATGGGTTGTAGGAGCTGCTGGACGAGTTGTAAGAGCTGCTCGCTGGACTGTACGAGCTGCTGCCCGCGCCGTAGGAGCTGCCGGACGGACTGAAGGAGCTGCCGGAGGTGCCGAACACACCGGTGATGGCGGAGGAGTAGTTGGCCAGCGCCGAGCCCGGCTGGTAGCCTGACCCAGAGCTGAAGCCGGGCGAGCCGCTGTAGGCGAGTCGCGGGCTGATGCAGGAGGCGCCGCTCTGTGAGAGCCCCGCAGCCGAGCTGTAGCCGCCCGTCAGCCGGCGCATCCCACCGTCCACCGGCATGGTAACTGCTACAAATACCACAGGTGACCCGCCGACCCGACGACCGACACCTAACGAAGGCGCGCTACGGACACTACTGAAGAGCGCAGACTGCCACCGACGGCGTCGACGTACGGGTTCCCGTCGCGTCCGCCAGGGGCGCCAGCAGCGCCGACCGCCGACGGACGGCCTTCAGTGGGGAGTTATTTGTGGCGACGGCCGGCCGGGAATAGTCCGGGCGCAGGGGAGCAGCCACCGTCCGGTGCGACAGACGGATAGACGCGGACGACGGCCGAGCCGACCGCAGCGCGACGGGACGCCATGGCCTCGACCTGCCAGCGGCCCGACGCTAGCACACACAGGCGCTAGAGACGACGTCTCGGCCTAACACGAGGCCCAGTGTCCAGACAGACTACAGTGGCGAGTCGTACCACTAATGAAGATAGCGCATCCGGATAAAGACCCACCCGCCAGGTAGTACCGGGAGGGTCTGCAGCGATCAGCCGTCCGACATGGAGCAGCGCTCGTGACCGGCCGGACGGCGGCTGGCTGACCGAATAGTGGACAGATGGAGACATAGCGGACAAAAAACATCCCGCGCATTCGTTGACTAGGTATCACCAGCCAAGTAACGCGTCCCAATATGCAACCTATCCCATCTTAGAGGAAGACCTCCCCCTATGTCGTATGCCGGCTACGGATAAGTTACAAGGCCGTGTCGAAACCCGGGAACGATCACAATGTGATATTATATACTCACGAAGATCGAGCTCGCCGCCGTCCTTCGCCACGGACGAACCATGGCCTGACCGGCCTCACCAGGCTAAGGATGGCGCCTTAGCCTAGTGACAACGCCAGACAACACGAACACTATCAGATGACGCCAACACCGACACTGGTATGGCCCTCACAGAACTAGCTCCGACAGGGAGATGCTCCCGACCGTGCCTGCACCGAGCCTTTGTACCGAGCAATACCAACCGTCCGCGTGGGAGCAATACCAATACAGCCACGGCCGCTGCTGCCGCTGTTGTTAGTATTGGCCGGATAGAGGCACACAGCCTGGGGTCGGTGGTTACTCATCCTGGACTGGAAGGAGACAGCTGCAGCTGGCTCAAAGGCTTTATATAGAGACGGATACAGATTTATGAACCGAAAATATGTCCCGAACTAACCACAACATCCACGTGAAAATGGTTGGGGCAGATCTTGATCCAGGTCTGGGTCGAGTCAGGGAAGGGATTAGGGCGTCAGGCCAGGTCAGCCGAGTACTCACCGTCGCTGAGTCAGCTGCGTCCGCCTCCTTGCCCTTCTTCTCGTTCTCCTGCGGGCGAATGGGAGCATACGGTTAGAGCCGGAGTCGATCAACACGATCACACAAACGTACTAGCTTGTGCGGCATACGCTCTGAACTGTCCATTTATTTGTCTGTTCAGCTCACTACCCTGTCTCAAGCGTGCCACCATAAACATAACAATCTCCAAGTCTTAGACTCTGGAGCTACGCTCTCTCAGTGGATCAGAAAACATGTAGGCAATCATACTAGTCAAACAGCAACAACCAGAAACAACAACACTAATCAGGAACAAATGCATTTTTTAGCAGCTACAGCGGTAGCAGCGACACTAATCGGCAGTCTGATACAGCCAGACAGCTAGAGCGAAAATAACAGCAACATAATCAGCAGCACTAGCAGCAGCAGCTACAGCAGCATCAACAGCGACAGCACTAACGGCACCAGCTACGTCATTGGGAACACCCAGGGAAGCCGAGCCGACCGTACCTCAGCGTCGTACTGGACCACGCCGGTCGAGCGGCGCTTGGGTTTGCGCCGCCGCTGGATGGTGGCCTGCGAGGCTGCTGCCGCTGCCGCCGCCGCCGCCGCTGCTGCCGTCCGGTTGTCGTTCTCCTTGTCGTCGCCTGCAGGGGGATGGGCACAGGTGTGATGGGAGTGGAGTGGATGGAATAGAGCGCGCTCAGGCTGCCGACCCACTGAGACAGTGGCAAAAACACGGGAAGAGCCGAACATCCCATTGCAACACCTGACTGCATTCAGTCTGATCTAGTTATGACTGCGAGTTGCCACGATCAGCTATGACATCTTGTCGAACCGTGCGTAAGCATCATTTAACGACTCGTCCGCCTTCAGAAGATCCCCACCCTCCTCCCCTACACCACACCCACCGTCAGCGCTGACCACCAAACGACTCGACCCTGACTCACCCCTATCATCAGCAGCAGACGGGGCGGCGGAGGCCGGTGCCGAGTCCGCGCCACTGGCTTTCCGCCGCAGCGGCAGGGTGACGGTGGTGTCCGGCTCGGGGCTGGTCGGTGTCGCCGTCGACGTGCGGCTGTTGGCGCGTGACGCGTCTCCACCGCCGCGCACCTCCTCCAGAGAGAACTGGGTGGTAGTGGCGGGCGGCGCACGGACGGGCGGGGGCGGGGGCGGGGCGAGGGCGGCTGTTAGCGGGTTAGAGCGGCGGCGGCCGAGTCCCGATAAGCCAGCCAGTCAGATGAGTCCCCAGCCACCGAACGATCCAGGGCAATGTAACCCATTTACGTGTTAACGCCCGACCCAAGCACTCTCCTCCTTAGACCCGGTCAAGTCGGCCATCGGGACGGGACCACGAGCCCAGTAAACCAACCAAAGTCAGCCGGATACCCGCGTATCCCTGGGGTAGCTAGTTCCTAGGTCCACATATACAAAGCAGCCGCCAAATACAAAACAGCTGCAGGCAGAGTGCAGAGCCAGCCGCCGAAAACTACCGAACCCGCCCTCCAAACTACTATTTACAATGAACTGTTCCAGAGTGACGCTACATTTACAAAAAGATAAGCCAAAAAATACCACCCGAGTTATGTAAGTTGTACAAAAAGCACAAAAGCAATACTGACGAATGCCCAAAGTAGTACTCTAACTACGCAAGAAGCACCGGAAGCAAGAAGTACCAAAAGGACACTGGATTGCACCTATGTCCAGTTAGTGTTAGTTGGCTGGTTTGCGGTGTCTGGGGGTATTTCGCGACACACAGGGTACGGTATACTCCCCGTCGTTCTCAGAGAACACTGTGAGTACGAATATAATTAAAAAAAAAAACGACGGACGGACGGTGGAACATAACGAAACAACACTGCATGGTGTATGTGTGACAACTGAACGTTTAGACTGGTTTGTCTTCCACGCTTAGCTCAGAATGTTTCCACCGCTCTGCTGAGAAAATCAAACAAATGTATGACGGAAGCAAGGCGCTAAAAGAAACCGAATGTTCAAACAGCACAAGCTTATCAACTGCTAGCGAAAAGCCTACGCAAAATAAAAATCGCGCGGGCAGGCTTACACCGTCAATCGACAACGAACACTCGGAAGCAAATCAACAAAAATAAACACATCTGAGCATATGTAAGCGGCTGGGTCTGGCCTGCTCTGTAAGCGACAGTAGCGGCCGGCAGTCGGGCCACAGTACCTTGTTCTTGTCTCCCTCGTCCAGTCGCAGTCGCCAGGAGGGCCGCCGCTCCATCTGCTGCTGCTGCGACTGCTGGTCGTCCCGCGACGCGGGCTCCTCGCGCGCCGCCGGGGCCTGCGCACACGGCGCGGGTCAGTCAGACAATAACGGCATACGCAGTAAACAGACAAACGGGAATTACCGTTCGTGGAAAACCAATAGAGCCCAGAGGGCCAGAGCCAGAGTAATTCGAGATTCTATTTTTGTAAGGTCGGTCCACCTTCATACCTAAGTTCGAGCTAAGAACCCCTGATGATTTCGTGCACCGAGCCATGAGAAAGCCATCTGCTAGCCCCTCAGAAGTCCCAACTAGCACTCACGGCGGGCGTGGAAGACTTCTGCTGTTGCTGCTGTTCCTTTTGCTGCTGCTGATTTTTGACGTATTGCTCGGCCGACTTGATTTCGTCGAAGGTGACACCCTGTGTGGACCGGCGCGTCTCGCGGGCCCGCTTGGCGTGGGCCTTCCGCTGCGTCTCACTCTCCTCCTCCCGCGTCGGCGGCACGAACGACCTGGGAGGTCAAGGTGCGGGTCAGAGAGGAGCGACACGATCTGGGAGGTCAGCGGGTTAGGTCAGATGGACATGAACGACCTGAGAGGTCAGAGGGTGGGTCAGAATCGAGCGACACGACCTGAGAGGTCAGCCAGGACGAGTCCGAGCGGCACGAACGATCTGAGAGGTCGGCGGAACGGGTAAGAATGGCACAAACGACCCGAGGTCAGGCTGTCAGGTCAGGATAGAGTAGCAAGAAATACCTGAGGTCCTGGGTAAGGTCGGGTCAGGACGACACGAACCTGGAGTCAGCGTAAAGGTTTACGGCGGCACGAACAGCCAAGGTCAGCAGGACGGGTCAGGTCATGGCACCTCGAACGACTTAAGGTCATGAATCAGGTGCGGACGGCACGAACGAGTTGAGGTCATAGGTCAGGTCAGGATGGAGAAACAAAAACGACCTACATACAAGCAACAGCAAGGAAGAAGCTTGGGCCAAGCGACAATGTTGGGACGTCAGAATCAGAATGCAAAGGACGCTTCTCAGCATGTCAATCCAAGCCCCAAAATGTCGCTCCGAGCCGAGCGGTACCGATGGAGGTCCTGGACATGACGACTGGAATCAGCAGCTCCCGAATCTGTAGAAAATGCGTGTTAGCTGATTGGGTGTTAATCTAACCATGCGGAAATCACTGCGGTCTGGCACACTCCCGTGCGTGACAAATACGAAGCTGTAAGCCATCTGGTCACAGGAAATAATTACTGGGCATTGGTTACTGGGTAAATAACCACAATCACATCAAACGCTGAGCTTTCCATAGGTTGGTAGGGTTGTAATTTGCTACTATGATTAGTCAAAATACTTGTCACTGCACTCAGTTATTAACGTCTGTTTCGTGTCTTCACCTTACGCGGAAGTTGAGGTTTGTCCCTAAACAAGTGTGTGTTAGTTCAGAGGTCAGCCAGCTCTGTCCCATGCTGGTCGGCAGCTTTGCAACGAAGGCAGAAAGGTCAGACACATGGAGTAGAGGACAGATCAAACCAAACAGCACACGGACAGGCAGACGGACGGACGGACGGACGGACGGACGGATAAGACGACGTTCCGTCCAGGCGGGTCACACAGCAAACCACGAGCCGGGCGACTGAGCGGCACTGACTTGAAGATGTTCTTAAATATGGTGGCCGGGCTGAGCTTGGAGCCGGCGGTAGCGGCGGTCGGAGAGACGGCCTGCTGGTCCACCTGGACGCGCGCCTGGGTGGTGGCGGCGCGCGCCGGAGGTACCGGCGGCTGTTCGGTCGGTGGGCCATCCGCCACCGTGGCGCCGCTGCGGCATCAGGTGAGTCGGTACCGGGCGGCGTTCTATGTACCCCGACTGACTCGGCGCAGTAGCCGCCGCCGTCCCCTCCCACCCTGTCACACTGTCCCGACTGGACGCGGAGGCGAACGTCAACCCACTCACACCCAGCACAGGAAAGAACCGAACAGCACCAGGGCTAGGACCGGTCGACGACTTCCGCCAGAGCTGTGAATTGTGATCAGCACTGCCCAGTCTCCCTACCACCTCCCCATCAGAATCATTTTCCAAATGGCAACTGCAACGGCGGATCCTGTAAAATAGATGCTAGCCGTACGGGACCTACAATTATCATGTGCTGTGCCAGGATATAAGGGAAAAATAATAAAAATTGGAAATGCCGGCAACACGTCATCGCCTTTGAATCTAACATTTGAGTTTGACGCTGGGAGTAAATATGTACAAGAATGAACATTATTCAATCATTAATAATTTGTAAATGTTTTCCTCCCCATGTATAACTGTGCGATGTTTATACAACCGTGCGACTGATGTGTGACGTCTTCACCACACGTCGCTATATTCCTGCCCGCAGGCGGCTGCACCGGCGCGACATAGTGTCTGGCATAGGTGCAGCATGATAGTGTGTCTGGCACGACCTGCGCCGATCGTATCGGGGCGGCATCTGGCCGCATGCATACCAGCGCTGCCAGCGGCCGGCGCACGGCCAGCGCGACACCCGCATACCGTGACGCTCTGGTGACAGCTCGTGACGCGTCACTGTGATGTGCTAAAAACATTGAGAACTCCCCGGCAGTATATGTAGCCTCATGTGAAGTGCAACATAAGGCAGGTTCTCTAACAATTTGACAAGAGCTGTGGGTGATTTATCTGAGACGGATCTGCAGTCTGAGGCTATCCTGGACTAGCCTGCAACTGCCTTGTGGTTTAGCGATTCTCCATCCCTGCCCATGACTGCGCTGATCTTTTATATCAGCCCACCCCGTAGTCCATTTATACCCCTTACATTTCATCAACCCTCTCCCATTCCTCCACCCCTACTCCCACCTATCATCCATGGTCTCACCTGCGCGACGGCGCCGTCGTCGGAGCGGTCGTCGGCGTGGTCGTCGTCGGCGTCGTTGTCGCCGGCGGCGGGGTCTGGATGATGGTGGCCGACACGGTCTGTTCAGCGGGCGCTGACTGGACGCGCCGAGAGTCGGACGGCTCGGTCGGCCGCGCCGGCTCCTCCCGGGGCTTGTCTGCGGAGGGAGAGACGGTAAGGTCAGGAAGGAACTCAAAACCATACCACTCGGCTATGGTAGCGTCGCTCGGGTCCCGCCCCGGTCCTGTGTGGATCAGTAGCCGCGGAGGTTGGTCGCTGTATACCCTCCTCAGGTCTATACTCACTGGATCGGGAGTCGTCGGGCGCCGAGAGTCGCTGCGCAGCGGCCGGCCGCCGCCACGACTGGGTGTCCGTCTCGGGCGCGCCGTCCGGAGGTCGCGGAGAGAAGGCAGGGGGTGTCGGCGCCGCCGGCTGGCTGGCCGGCCGCTGTGGCCTCGCTGGCTGCGGCTGGCCGGCCTTCTTCCGCAGCTCTGCGGGCCAGGCGGACAGGCGGCGCGGCTGTAGCGGCCCGCTCATCACACAAACACACACAGAACACAGCGCAGTAAAAGCTGATGTGGCCGGTGTGCAGAACTAGTCACAACAACAGGGCGGTAAGACAGCGCACTAAACATGGATCATTGTTATAGTAACTACAATTTACGCTGTTAAAACGAATAGCTTATTCTAGCAGACAAGTCCCACAAACGGCCAGCATTATCAACACACCACACTGCTGCTCCCTCATAGTTAACAACGTACCCGAACTAAACACAACCGTACCAGATAAGAACCAGTATCTTATCCGTCCGCAGACGACCAAAAACTCCACAGCAGAGCACACTAGAGCGCGTCAAGGCCGAGGCGCTACTCAGGGACGGGGATGATACTGACCCACTTGGTCAGCGTCGGCGGTGCGGGCGGGCGGCGGCTCTGCGGCGCGCTCGTCCTCTATCCGCATATCGCGAAGTCGCTCCATCTCCGAGCTGGCGTCCCGGGACACCTGGCTGGCCCGGTCAGAGGACGACATCCGCGTGATCGACGAGCTGCGGCACAGAACGGAGAACGACATGGTGAGGTGAAATAACAGGCAGTGAAAGAGACGGAGCGTGTTCAAGAGACCCGAGAGCAGGAACCTAGAGACCATCTATGTTTACAACGTCATTTCCCAGTCAATCTGACAGTAAGAGCCAAAGATGGAGACACAATATTGGCAGACATTCATTCATGGGTCAACCTAACTTCAATGAATACAAACACATAACGTGCAGTGCTCCCTAAATGATGCAGCCGTTTTGGTCTGTGTGATGGTGCGGACCCGACCCTGGCCCTGATAGGTGCCCCTGACTGGTGTGGGATCGGTGCCGCCTCCCACCCGGTGTCCGTCCCGGCACTGACCGTCGCCGGAAGGTGGGCTGCGGCCGCCTGCTGATGATTTCGGCCACCTCCGGTCGGTCGCGCGCCATCAGTGCCTGCTTCTTCTTCAGCTGCTCCAGCAGTGTTAACACCTTGTCGTCCGCGACGCCGAACACGGTCAGACCCTGGAGAAATGCAGCGCAGAGGGAGGAATGGTCAGACTCTGGAGACGTCAGGGAACGGCTGGAGAGGCACAGTGCAGAGGAAGGTGGCGTAGGGAGAAACATGACAGAGGGAGGCGACAGATCAGAGTCAATACGGAGATACCATGCATACAATTACATACAATACAATATGCACGCAGAGATACAAATTACAGGCGAATGGGACGTCAGCTGACCCAGGAGCAAACAGAAAGAAGGAGGCAGCGGCGAGACCATGGTCACAGTGGCAGGGTAATGAGCCGGTCGGACTCTTTAGGCAGGCACAGCGTGTCGATGAATACTGCAGTAAGATTTGAAGAAATATGCCACATACTATGGATTGAGGGGAAGCCAATTACACATGACTGCTCGCAGCAGCTGATAGCCTTGTCACACATCTGACACTGAAGCTGCGACTGGTCCGAGGCACAGAGCAGTCCACAGCACGTCCGTCGACCCCGGTCAGCCCCGAGACCGCCCTCACCCTTTCCCCTGCGCCCACCGAGCTCTAACCTGATGGTTTTTGATGTCCATGTTGCAGAGGTTCTCGGCCAGCACCTGGCAGGCCTCGGGCTGCGCCCAGTAGCCGGCCGCGTGCAGTGGCGTCCAGCCGTCATAGTCCTGCGCGTTGATGTCGGCACCGCACCGTAACAGCAGGCTGTGCGGAGAGACGAGAACGGTCAGCATCATATGCCGTAGGCTGTGCAGTTCAAACAGGCAGTCACTCTACACAGCAGACTATGCAGACAGACAGGACGAAAGGAACGACTCCAACACAGCAGACTGTAAAAGCTTATGGGTACAACCGACCAGGTACTGAAACTGACCCTGTCCACTGACTGTCAGTAAAACAGGCACAAGATGAGCAGCTCCAGGACCAGCGTAACAACAGCGAACCGATAACTTCACATTTGAACAGAGCAATTCCACATTCTGCGCCCCGGCATCCCTAATCTGCGCCCCGTTATATTGCTAAGGTTTGTCATCGTCGAAGCTCCACTCACTCCATCGCCTGGATGTATCCTTTGGCGGCGGCCACGTGCAGGCCGGTGGCGCCCGTCTTGGGGTGCGGCTGCTCCATGATCTGTCCGGCGTTGATCCACTGGCGGGCGTCCGAGAGCAGTCGGTTCTGCTCCTCGTCCTTCACCGCCTCACAGTCGATCCCTGGCGCACGGGACACGGGACGGGTCAGAGACGGCAAAAGCACACGGACGCGGGACAGATATGGAACAGGACTCGAGCAGGGACGCGACACAGCACTGCAAGTGGGCACGGCACGGAAACGGGTATGGCACGGAAACGGGTACATCACGGAAATGACCAGTTCGCGGAAGGTCCGGGAGAAAAGGCTCCGTTACACCACTGTTAGCAGTGGACAGCGTCGCTGCTTTGTCGACCACTCTTTTAAAGATGACACAGATCTGGTCCACTTACGTAAAGTCTCGTCGTGTCGTGCATTTTATGTATGATACGGGTTGTTATGTTGGCCACAGCTTTGCAAGACCACGTTTGTCCACAAACGATTTGTTCCCCATTCGGTCCATTAGCCGAACGCTAGGTACAGCCGTTCGTACCGACTGCCGCCCTGTATTCCTGCACCATCCATCGGGGTAGCCCATCTTGCTCCTCTACTGCCTCAGCGGCGCGTACTCACCCCGGACGGCGATCTCGTGCCGCAGCAGGTCGCGGACCTCGATAGCCTCCTCACACAGATCCACCGGCAGCTCACCCTCGTTATTGACAGCGGCCACGTCGGCGCCCTGGTCTATCAGGTACCTGGGGAGGAGACGCAGGTCGGAGGTCACTCTGCAGCAGCTGTCCAACGGTCGAGAGGCACGCGGAGTGCGACACATTGGAAGGACCTTTTGGATACCCTCCATTGACCTACTTCAGAATCAGCACAGTCCCACAGAAGTAACAGCACACACTGCACAAAATCTAATAGCACAGACGTCATGAAAACACTGCCCCAACCTATTGGACACAGCCAGACACGTGCCATAATACTGGTGCACGCTGGACACTCATGGTTCACTGGTAGATGCAGGGAAAGAGTTACAGGTACGTCGGTAACCTCAGGTAAATCGGAAGCTGTACACGTGCACCACATCGATAAATACGGGTACATACGTCCCAGCAATCCACTCTAATCGACGACCACGAATTCGGGTCTGTAGAATCGCCTCCTCTCGACGACTGGGCCGCTGTCAAAGGGCCACATGCTCCGCGCACTGCTCGCGCCCTTCCCTCCCCTCCATGCAATCCTAACCCACCAGCTGAAGCATGTAAGCCCGATTCTCGGCGCCGAAACATCGCACAGCGAGCCGCTCCGCTGCTTAGAGGCGCAAGAGGACGTGTCGTGCACGATTAGCTTTATGCGACCCAAGTGGTGTATATGGGTGATTTTTATGTCCTGAACCACTCAATTCTGAGGTTAATCTGCTGCAGTTCATGCTACCTCATCCACTTTGAGAAATGGTGACAGCAGCTATGATCAGCCAATTATAAGCAAACAGGACACATCAAAAGTTGACAAACAAAGGGTCCAAATTGTTAGAGAATCTTAACATGTTTCATTACCAGCTAAATCAGTAGGTTAACTTTTTCAGCCCACCCAATGTCTGATAGGCAGAACTAGGTACTGAGAGATAATTGGACACTATTCAACTTGTCCACTTAATAGGTATAAAGCATGAAGCTCAGGACACGTGTCACAACACATGAAGGCAAGAAGTCCCTCAAGTGGGAATAAAGCTGCTTTTAAGGCGAATCACACAGAGCACACTGATTTGTTCTACCTCAGTCAGCTTTCAAAATTCAAAGCCTAAACATGAACAGTTCACCTTATGTGTATTCCAGGTTAGAGCAAATAATTTCTAGCTTGTTTTGGGACACAATGCATTACTGGCCTTTGTAAAGTAAAATTTTGAATAAGTATAACCTGTAGAAGTTCATTTTAAGTTTAAAATGCACCTATTAGCATGGTTGTTGATTTTCATTTAGTGCTCAGTATCACAGCATACAAAAGAGAACAGTCCCTTATTCCTGATTTCTAAGAAAAAAAAGAAAGTGAAAGCTCAACCAACAAATTTGTTGGGCAATAAGCAACAGCAATATGATAAGTACCTTCTGAGCCATAACCACAGGTTCACTGGTAATAAACCTCTTCCCAAGAGCAGTACAGACCCACATTAAGCACTTTGGTGGCCTGACTGGGCAGTAAGTGCCTAGCTGAACACCAAAATCTCAAAACAAATTGGTAAAGTACTTTCTGACTAACTGGGAATGGTGTGTAGTGTACATCAAACTAAAGATGGTGCACAAAGGCTTGGGGAGAGGTGATACTGCTGCATTATAGGTGGGGAAAAAGGAGAACAAATCCACTAGTTTACAGTCTGAAATCTGAGTATGCGCTAAAAGGCTTATACAAGCATCCACTGCCTGACTGGAAAATGCATGTGCTGTTATTATCAAACCTGACTTCATGTTAAAGCAGCACTGGTTGGTTGGGAGGCTTACCTTGCCAAATCAAGGTGGCCACAGGAGGAGGTAACGTGGAGTGGTGTCCAGCCCTCATTGTCGCCCTGGTTGACGTCTGCACCGTTTTCTACCAGGAACTCCACCATGTCCAGCTCATTGTCAATACAGGCCTGGAAACAGAACATATGCATTGGAAAAACAGTGGGTAGGCACTATAAACATGACTATTAGTTCATTATTATTCATTTTTCCAACACATATTTTGATAATTTATAAATTGGCATTCTAAGCAAAAAAGAAAATACAGCTACAATCCCAAATGAATGACCATAACTATTCCCTCCACTTAGCCATTATGTGACACCTAAATGACAGCACTTTCCAGCTTCCCTGAATGGAAACTACAAGAAAATTTTAAATTGCGGTAATTGATAAATATATAAACATGTTGTTGGTGACCAATATAATCTGTAAATATGTTGTTATCATATTAAACAATAGCTAGGGCTTGCTGACACTATATTAGAGATAAATATTCAACATAAGCCACTATGCGCAACTGTTACAAATTCATCCGCAAACAAACGTGGTGGCAGTAATACCTGGTGAAGAGCTGTTATACCATCCATGTTGGCAGTATTTATGTCAACTCCTTTAACTAAAAGGCGTTTTGCTTCATCAGTATCGCCCGCAGAGCAAGCAGCCAGGAAGACACAAGGATCAGAAAACATGATCCTCCGGTTATTATCCTTGGGTGTTGTCCCTTCTTTGCTCGTTGCAGACTCCTCCCATCTTCTTAGCTGCTCTGCACGTTTCGCTTGAGGGGTAACACTGTTGTCAATGAGTTGAGGAGTCCTGAAAATCGCGGAGTTTCGTGTATCTCTCGACATTTTTGGTTGCAAATATCACAGCACATCATCAGAACTCATCTCCAGTCCTCAACATGGAGGGAGCGGCTGCACATCCACTCGCATTTGACACCTCAACACACATCCCGGCTGGCATATTCCGTGAATGAACTAGCGAGTTGACCATTTTCTTACCAAGAGACATCTGCTGGCAGGAGTTTGTACTTCTAGGCAAAATAAACCATGAAGTACGGATAAATAAAAATATGCGATTTGTCAATTGAAAATAAATAAGTGCATAACAAACCGGACACAAAATCACGTAATTATATTTGTCTTCCAAATACCAAATTAAATATAACTCATAACAATCGAACTCTGACAACAGAAAAGCACCAAACATTAGGTAGGTAGGCTTTTGCGAATCATGGAATCCGCAAAAATAGGTAGGTACCTATTTGGCATTTGCGACATTGGTGTCTGCTGAAGATGCTTGTTTTGTAGCTGTTTAGTATTCATCATTGATGGCTATGAATAAATCCACAATTCGTAAGATATAAGATAACTCAAATTTCAGCAAAAGCAAAGATGCGAGACATACCACTTCCAAGGCCATACCGCAAGTCAAGTTTGCATCTCTAATAAAAATAAAAATCAATCGTTTCACATTTCATGCTTTTTAGGATGAATATTGAATAAATTTTCATATAAAAGAAATACTCAGGAAGAAATTTGCAATAAATGTCAAAACATTTGAAAATTCAAGCATTAAATTATTTTATTTCAAAGGCGGCGCCGCAAAATATTGTAAACTTCCTTTTGAAACAAGCACGATCGTGGTTAGTGTGCGGCAAAACCCATTCTACTATTTTTTGTATTTATTAGGCAGTGGCGTACATTTAGAAGTGTTTTCGTAGTTTTTTTGTGTGTATTTGATTCTTGAAAGCATTGTTTTGCTTACAATGGCACTGCCCCGCAGCTTTATATCCGGTATCATGATACCGTCTTAAACGTCTACAATAAATCAACAAAATGGAAGGACATAAACTCAAAAGTTTCTTTATGATATCAAAATGCCACAAGATGTTAGTGGAGGTGATAACAGTTGTAGCTGGTACATGTTCTTCCACTTAAGATTGGTTTGTGGTGGGTATCTGAAATGGTCCTGATGCTCCTCAAATTTACCATCTTCTAATTTTTGAGGGCATTCTTTCATGTATGCCAAAGTTTTATGCACAACGTCCTCCCTGTGGCCAAGTGGATAAGGCGTCTGTCTCCTAACTTGGCAGTGAGTTTGCGGCCAGGAAGCTCCATGTTGTTTGACCTGCACTCCTATATTTAGCCAGCTGGCAACTGGCGAGAGGGCCACACTAGATCTGGGAGGACCATGCTGCCTTATACCTGCGGCACGTTGAACTTTTGATCCAAATTATCACCGGACGAGGGCAAGGCGGGGTGGCAGGTCCGTGATTTCATTCCCAACAGGCACTGCTTAGCGGGGCACCCTGGCCCATAGCCACTCATTCATCCATTCTGACAAAATAAATAAAAAGTATGTGACTACCAGGTATATTGGTGCTTCAGTTTCTTGGAATTATGTAAACAAATTCAAGACATGGAATGAAATTGAATTAATACTTCTGAAGCTATAATTCTAAATCTGAAGTATGCAATTTGTTGATATTTTCAGCATTGGTATTCAACAGGTATAAATGCTAAAGTTACCTTAAAAGTATGGCAGGCTTACTCTAGATTTTATTTAATCAGTGTTGGTAAAGCTGGTGTTGCCATTGGCTGTAGGTATGGAGTAGGTTGTAACTTGTAGGTTGGTAGGTTGTAGGTCAGTAGGTATGGTGGTTAGTTCAGGTTTGGTTGTTTTTATTGTACTTCATCTACACAATAACTGGTAGGTGCTGATGCCTGATGGTAACACCAGCTTTACTGATACCATTTCATCAGTTGTTTTCATTGCTTTGCTGTAGCACCTGTAAGGTCTAATTCATTGAATTTGCATTAGCTGTTACCTTGTTATACTGAAGTGCATCACTGGCTGGTGATAACTATTTTATGTGCAGGCATCTTGTTTGTGACTAAGGTTTTGTTAACCTTTCAGGTGAGCCACCATGACGAACCCCAAGGGATACAGGCGGGGTACCCGCTATATGTTTGCCAAGCCCTTCAGGAAACATGGAGTTGAACACCTTTCCACCTACATGAAGGTCTACAGGGTCGGTGACATTGTTGACATCAAGGTGAGTCATTTTTGTTATCTTTTTCTGATACATGATCACCCCATGACTGACAGTAAATTTAAAATTATGAATCCTTAGCAGGAAAACATTTAAACATGTAGGTACCAAATCTAAAGTTTCTTAATCTTCTTTTCATTCATTGTATTGTTTGCATGAATCATTGTATAGGATGCAGGTGTTGGCAAAAAGGATTAAAAGTAACTGAAGAAGTACAGGTAAAACTAGTATATCATGGACTTGTATACATATTTGCATTTTATAGTTGTCTGATGCTTCTTAACTTGTCACTTACCTATTAATTTTGCAAATGGCATTTATGGTGTGGGCCTTGGTGCGAATCACCAGTTAGGTCAAGTTTCAGCACAATTAGCAGGTGTCAGTCCAGGCTTGTTGAGATATAACAAGTTGAACGATTTGCACACCCCTGATTGGGCATGTGACATTCCTCCAAATGCACCATAATCTGATGCATGTATGGTAGGTATAACTGAGTGGTTGGGATGATGAGTCAATGGCTGCCTGATATGTTAGCCACTAAGAAAGTTCACCACGTTGGGCTGGCCCATGTAGGAGCAGATATTCCTGCTAAGTCATGCATGACTCAGAATTGTGCCCCCCCCCCCCCACTCATCCTGATGGCGGCGTTCTATTGCTGGTACCTCGTTATTGTTCTCTCCTATCAAGATAAACTTATGATTTTTCACCAGGGTAATGGAGCGATCCACAAGGGTATGCCACACAAGTGCTACCATGGCAAGACCGGCCGTGTGTACAACGTGACCCCCCACGCCGTCGGCGTGATCGTCAACAAGAAGGTGCGCGGCCGCTACATCGAGAAGCGCATCAACCTGCGCATCGAGCACGTCAAGCACAGCAAGTGCCGTGAGGACTTCCTCAACCGTGTGAAGAACAACGCTAAGCTCCGTGCGGTGAGTTGAAGTTTTTTTGTAGTTTTTAAAACAAGAGGTCCTCACATTGCTATCACATTGTGTATAGCAATGTGAGGCCCTGTGTATAGCAATATTGTGTATAGTTCAGATATACACAACATGAACGTATTGGCTACAGGACAGCTACATGGCCATGATTAAGCCTAGACCACATCCAATAGATGTTGCTTGGATCTTTCCCATCCCCCCCCCCCTCAATCGGTGCAAAGTGCCGAGGCATACGATTGTACATTGCCGTTACTAATAACATTTGCATTAGCGACAACGTCTCTAAGGTTTGGCATCTGGGGAGATGCCAAGATCGTAATACTACCTACCTGCAAGTAAAAGTGACTTATCGCGACGTTGCAGTCTTTCGAATTGGAAGTTCATTGTAAATGCAGGTTAAGTAGCGCCATCTACCTGATCTACCGTTTGCAGCTGTGTCCCGTAATGATCACGGAATTTCACAGCCATAATAATTTAACGATGCCTGGTCATCCTCAGGAGGCCAAAGTCAACAAGACCAGCGTCAGCCTGAAGCGGCTGCCCAAGCCCCCGCGTGAAGCGCACGTCGTGAAGACGGCCGACACCACCATCCAGGACGTCCGACCCAAGCCCTACGAGTTCATCATCTAAGTGCTGTCACTATTACACGAAAATATACGTCGGTGAGCCACCTGCTGCCTTTCGTATGCCTCGTAGTTGTGCCAGAACAGCTTGGGATGTAGACGCAGACACGGGGAATGGGGATCGCGTCAGGGGCTTGCGTGAAAACTCCGCTGCTGCTGAAGTCGGCCAGGCTATGAAAGGGAAAGCATTTGCATTCGAGTCCCATCCCATTAGATGGGGATGGTAATCGCTTGTCTCTTTCCAATCCATTCTCCACCAGCAGCTGCACTCGATGGTGTTCAGGATTGAATCGGTCCTGATGTCAGAGTACTTCAAGCACCTCGTGATTGCGTTTAAAGCGCTAAGGACATGGAATCGACAATAGCGCGCTTTAACCATCGCCGGCCGAGGGGGTGGGCGGGTGCCGCCCCCCCCCCCCATAGGTTTTTTTCGCGATAGCTCCGAACACACTGGGGATAGAGAGCTGAAACTTAGCATACCTGACCTTTGATTCAAGGCGGATCTTTTGACACCAACCGCATTTTCGGGTCAGGGCAGGGTCCTCTGCACGGTCTTCAGATGTCGCAACTTCGCAATGCCCTCTTTGTCAGAGTAGCTTTCACAGGGAAATGAAACTTGCAGGATCAAATATCCATTACGAGTCTCGCAACTTGTATATCGGATTTTTCCTTAAGGTCATATGAGGTCAGGTCATTTTCGTGACCTCACCATTATGTCATTGGGGAAAATTGAAAAATGAAAACTGCTCTTCAGGCGCCGGGAACGATCTCCAACTATCTCAAGCACACAGAATCGTGATTTGATGCACTCTTTGCAAGGTTACATGCGTCAGTTGTGCAACGCTGACCTTACGCGACGTCATTTATGACGTCGTTGGGGTCATATTAGTTTTTCATCAATAACTCCCGATCAAATTGAGCTAGCGAGTCGGGAAAGCCACCAATGGACTTGGGAAGACCTGCCGAATCAAATGATATGCGACATGACCTACTTCGACCAATTTCGTGATTTGGGGGCGCTGACCTGACCGTGACCTGAGGTCAACACCCTAAGTTGACCTCACCCAAACAATAAGTATATCATTCGAAGCGCCTGAGCGAAGCGAACACGATGCTGCCAAAATGGCGGCTCTGCGGCCGTTTTTGCGAAGATATTCACCAAAAACGGAAACGTACCTTAGGGCACTTCACCTGAACTCAGAGGTCACCGGTTGACCTAGGACCTTAAAATCGGCTATCAATCTCTGCGTCTCGTAACGGCGCACACGCTCGTTTTTTCCGCAACGCGCTAGCTCCACCAGGGGCGAAACGGCGAGGGGGTCGTAACCGCCCGCCCCCCCCCCCCCACCCCCCACCCCCACCCTCGGCCGGCGCGTTTGTAGAAAACCAATAGGTCCGGCGAGGGTTAAATTGGGGTGCCGTTACAGTAATTTAATTACAATATGCCGTACCGCTTCTCATGAAGAAGCAATATCTGCTTTTGGGGGCGACGCGTTGTGGCAGTCTGATGAAGTGCAATTACTTGAGGTCAACACTCGAGGCGTTCGTGTTGCGGAACGTCAACGGGATATTTTGGGATAACGTCAACGGGATAATTCAGATACGCCCCTCCGGCCTCCAGAGTTCAGGCCCTTGGAAGATTCCCTGGGTCAACAACACTTGACCTTTTGCTGATCGAAAACATTCTGCGCGCACATACCCACTTCAAAAAGGCCCTTCAAAGGGGCTGCCTGGTTGGCTTTGTTTGGGCGCATAGCAACCAGTGTCCACTGTTTCTGGTGATTATTTGTTCGCATCTACTGTCCCTTGAATATGGTAACGCAAGGCGCGTGAAGCCTGAATGAAAAATGAAACTTTGGTATCATCCGCTCATGTAAAAGTAAATCCCTAGTATGGTTCCACACTGCGGTCGACGACATAGGTGGGCAAGGATGCCAAAGGTGTCAAGTGTGCCATGAAAGCTCGTGTGGGCAGTGTTTGAATAACTTGGGGTAGGTATGAACTAAGGAGAACCCAAATGGTGGTTTGTTACATTCTTCGGCTGAAAGGCAAAACTTTGGCAGCGGTGGGATTCGAACCCACGCCTCCGAAGAGACTGGTGCCTTAAACCAGCGCCTTAGACCGCTCGGCCACGCTACCACTGATGTTTAGAGGGCCCACAATCTTTTGTGAACCAACGGGTGTTGGATTTGGCTTTGTGGACCCCCATTCCCACGTCTACAGGCTTGTTCTGTCAAGGGCCCTGGCTTCCTTGGCAACAATCTCGCCGCCCTCAACGCCGCATTGTGAGGGCAGCTACTGCAGGTGGACTTGCCGGCACTGGGCTGCCAGTCCTCTAGGCTGTTGTTATTGTTCCCCTCAGGGCCGGCCTGTAGCCCTATGAGAGCCGCTCCGGGCAGCCGGTTCACCTCTGAGGGAAGCAATGATGAAGTTCTTGACATGCAGTAGTAGGTTCTCCAGCAGGTGGCCTGTTGGGGGTACGGACCGCGTGATCTTCCCCGTCCGGCCACCATGACGCGATGAGGGCCATGTCGTCTTCGTCGGTGGGTAAGCTGTCGCTCCACTTCCGCGTGACATGGCTATCTCGCTGGTGGTAGGGGGAGCTGCAACAGGGCTAGCTGTCGGTCAGGTTAGGCATTTGATTCAAGTGGATTTCAGTTCAGTGCCTACCGACAACGGCTGGGTGAGGGCTGAATAAATGCCTGACTGAGCTGTTTGCGGTCAGGCTTTCTTCAGCCTGACCGCAAATAGTTTTTTTCATAATACATTTCAGATCGTCATTCCTCGTTGTTCCGGACAAGTGGCACCCCTTCCATTTGCGTGTCGGCTCGGAATATGAACTTCACGGGAGAGCGAGCGCCCTCTGGGCTGTAGTGCTGCTTCAGCTCAGCACGGCACAACACAAGCGCCGGCCGGTAGGGGGCCGTCTCGTGGCCGCTAGAGGGCCGTACCAGCGAACAGTACTCACTCAGCTCACTGTTATAGCCTATGGCACCACACTTGGTTTTGGAAGGTTTTAACAGCATATAGGACAGAATCGGCTCGAGGGTACAGACCTTGTAAATGTCGACGAAAAGGTCATCCTTGTGTACAAAATCTGGGCACATTCACATACACGATATGCATGACAAAATGGAAACTGGAATGGCCCAGATTCATGCCCAAGTCGCCTTCGTGCGACCATTCGTGTCGTGCTGTGGCATGAACAAAATAGCCATGGACGGCCTCCATAGAACTGAAGAGAAGAGCAAAGCTTTGCGGCCGTGGTAATGCGTTGAAGAGAAATCGCTCTGCCCTTTGAAGCAATGTGGCGACGTGGCGTGGGCACTTCAGCTCAAATGTGCCCCAGTCTTCCCTTTCCCTCAGTCAAATTATTTACGCATTCACTAGCGAATCCGAGGGGGATAGTGGCATTTAGGGCAAATGTCGCCGTCCCAGCGCCCGAAATCGTTGAAATTTGTCGTTTTTGTAGAATGGAAAGAAGACCAAACAGCTTTTGTTCGGACGAGTTTGCTTTAAACTGCACAGCATTGCGAGTGGTACCGAAATCAGAGTTTTCACAAATTGGAGAACCTTTCTTTGGGGTATTCTCACGCAGTGTCCGAGGCCGTCTTTCTGGATTCGCCTGTGAGCCTACTGAAATCAAGTGATATCTATAAAAGTGCAATGACACCAACATACCTATCCACGTGGCGCCAAGTCCACGCAAAAAAAAAACGCTTTAAGGAAATTCTGGTGAAGTTGCAATCGCCAACTACAGCGGATGCGGAACGCAATGACAAAGACGTGATTTCTTTTTTCATTCCTGTAAGGAATATATTTTTTCATCAGATCAACATACCTTAGCATCACAATGACAATCATCCGCATGTTTCGCGAGTGCAATTATTATTTAACGCTACAAAGGTAAAAAGTCAAGCGTTCATTACCAACACAGCCAAGTTTCACTGACACATATAATTGGACCGCGGACGTCACAGTAGTTGTACCATCACAGAACAGCGCATCGCCAGTTTCAATGTCAACATTAATCCAGCACGCGACCACATCTGACCAGAGAACATATTTTGTTACATTGAGCTACACTCTAACACAGCTCGAACAGGTATCACAGGAAGAAGTGGGATTATGGAGTGGGGAAAGATTGTTGAAGAAAGAAAGATTGGAAAGATTGTTGAAAGATTTGGAAGATTGTTATATTACAATCTATCGACTCGAGACATCTCCTTGTAGTCAAAAGCTAGTTTACAATATTTGGTTTATATAATATATAGACGTGTAAAATATGTACATTCAATATGCTTAATGACATAGCTTTTCTGTTTTCATCGATAAAAAGCTATTATTCATTTTATATTTTAAATCAATCAGTAACAACACAATGAAAGAACTTGTGTAATATCAGAGTTCAGACTAGAAATAACAACGACTAGGATAACGGATCATGTTGACTAGGATCACAAAAGCACGATGACCTGTAAACGCAGGCGTTAGTACCACCTCAATAGAAGGCACGCCTGAATTGATGACTCCTAAATTCGTGACCAAATTATCTAGGACCATAGATACTTTAATTTAAGTGGTTGAGTAAATCCATTTAACAATGTGTCAAACTTTAAATGTATGGGAAGGTGTGGAAAATACGCCAAAAGGCTAAAATGACGCCCACTTCGGTTCAAACAAGCTTACAGTCAAAGATACTGGGGTACCATTGAGCATTACCCGGGAAGCGGCCCTGTGGGAGCTGTCGTACATACCACTCGGAGGCCCGCGTCGTCCACCAGGCAGACGCATCGGTCGATCCACGCTCCCTCCGGAAGGGTCGCGGGTCAGCCGGCCAGGCCAACCCGCTGAGCTGCCGAAGGCGGCGTCCGTCGGCGTGTCCAGCAGGCGCGCTGGCCAGTCCAAGCGTACATACAACATGCACCAACGGGCCAGCCATGTCCTACCCATACTTCACGAAAATCCCTCCGGAGATAAGGCACCGCACAGGACGGCATTTCGCCGGACGCTGGCAAGACTACCCCAGGGCGACATATACAAAAGC